TGTGAAGATTGGAAGAGGAGTTCGACAAGGATGCTGTTTATCACCAATTCTGTTCAACTTGTACAGCGAATGCCTTACCAAAGAAGCTCTGGATGGGCTTGGAAACTTCAAATTAGGAGGGCAAATTATTCAAACTGTGAAATATGCAGATGACCTTGTGTTAATGGCTAAGGAAGAAACTGTGCTACAGGGCATGATTGATAGACTAATTGAAATTGGAAGGTGCTATGGCATGGAAATGAATGTGGAGAAAACAAAAGTAATGAAAATTTCGAGACAACCAACCCCAGTCACAATAAAGATAAACCAAAAACAACTGGAGAATGTGAAATGTTTTAAATATTTGGGTAGCTTGTTAACAGATGATGGAAGGTGTACTAGTGAAATTAAATCCAGGATTGCCATGGCAAAAGCTGCATTTAGCAAGAAGAAGAAAAATCTTTTTACCAGCAAATGAGATTTAAATTTGAGAAAGAAACTAGTGAAATGCTACATTTGGAGCATTGCTTTGTATGGGGCTGAAACTTGGACACTTAGGGCAGTAGATCAGAAACACCTGGAAAGCTTCGAAATGTGGTGTTGGAGAAGGATGGAGAAGATCAGTTGGACCGATTATGTGAGAAATGAAGAAGTGTTATTTAGAGTCAGTGAGCAGAGGAATATCCTACACAAAGTAAGAAAACGGAAGGCTAATTGGATTGGTCATATCTTACGCGGTAACTGCCTTCTAAAAGAAGTTATTGAAGGAAAGATAGATGGGCGGATAGAAGTGACCAGAAGACGAGGAAGAAGACGTAAGAAGATGCTGGATGACCTTGGGGACAGAAGAGGATATTTTCATTTGAAGGAGAAAGCTCTAGATCGCATCAAGTGGAGGAACTGTTTTGGAAGAGACTGCGGACCTGTCGTCTTGATAGATTACTGATGAATGAATGTAGCTTACGTGAAAATTGCTTTACACTTGTGTTAAGTGAACTGTGGGGAAGTCCCTACTCTATCCTTATCACGTGAACTCTTATTTTTACCAATAGTTTGCGTAAAGCGAGGTATGATGATAGGAGGGGGTGGTAGATCACTGGCAGTTTTGACACTAAAAAGTCGATCACAACCTGTTTGAAGATGGACATGCCTGTCATAGATGCACCCATTTGTGGTAAAGCATTTCCAACTTTGAATGGATTCCAGATAATAGATGAGACAAATCTTCTACTGGATGCGCAACTAAATAAGTTCCCCTACAAACGTCTTACTAGTACACACAGAGAAAGGGGAGAAATGAAACCTTACTAATCAGAGAAAACAAAAGGGTATGCATCTGGTACAGTCAACTGACCACAGTTATATGACATTTACATGACAGCAGAGAATGGTAACATGCCCCGGCTGGTGCTGGCAGACCCTGAGTATCGCCATCCCTTGAGGCATCACCGGAAGGGGGCACCTTGTTGGCCCAACCCATGCCAGGGTGGAGGGACCTGTCTCAATGGGCCTCACCCCAGCAGGCCCATTCTTTGCATCTGTCCACCAGACAGGGAAGGTAAGAAAGCAGATGTAAAGGGGTGGCATGAGAGCTCATGGGTAACTCTATTCTGATTGCTGGAGGGTGATTTATACATGTAGATTTTTTCTTATTGCTAGTGGGGTGGGACTAAGTCCCTTGTACTGCAGCCTCTTCTGGCCTATTGTACCAGCCCCAGATGATAGGTGAGGGTGATTGTGGAGCAATTGGTGGAATGAAGATTGCCAGGGGAAACCGAAGTACATGGAGAAAACCTGCCCGTGCCACTTTGTCCACGACAAATCCCATTTGACCAGACCTCGGGATCGAACCCGGGCAGCCACAGTGGGAAGCCAGCGACTAACTGCTTGAGCTATGGCATGGCCTAGATATTTCTCTTAATAATATTCTTGTAGACTTACACATTTTATGAATTTAGGGGAATACAAGCAATTTATGAAACGAGCAGAAGTGGCTATTCTCCTCCTGGGATACAATCGCTTTAATTGTCAATATCATGTACATATGTAGAAGCTAAAACTTTAAAGGTACAACACTCAAATTAAGAAATTAAGTTTAATCATGTAATTACAAGGAATGGAGATTTGAAATGCATTCAGAACTTTTAACACAACATCTATACACTGCTTAAACATCTATAGGTACTGTACATACTGGTAAGAGTATGATGTAAATTTGATATCTCTTGAGTATTCTTGAGTACTTTTCCTCAACGCTTAAAATACGCTGTATTGAAACCACTTTTTAAAAAAGGAGAGAGAAAATGCATCTCTAATTACAGACCAATATCCATATTGACTTCATTCTCAAAAGTCTTTGAAAAAGTTATGTATAATAGACTACTTGAACACTTAAATTCTAACAACATATTAGTCAAAGAGCAATTTGGATTTAGGAAAGACCTAACAACAGAAAAAGCAACCTATGAACTAACTAACGATATTTTAAGTGCTCTCAATGACAGATTAATTGTGGGAGGGATTTTCTGTGATCTAGCAAAAGCTTTCGATTGTGTTAATCATGATATCTTACTATCGAAATTAAATTTCTATGGAATAACTGGCAAAGCTAATGAATGGATCAAATCATACCTCAAAAACAGGTATCAAAGAGTTGAAATAAATAATAAAAACTCCAGTCATAATGCATTTTCAAACTGGGGAATTATAAAGCACGGTGTTCCACAAGGATCAATTTTAGGTCCCTTACTTTTTCTTCTCTACATAAATGATCTATCTAAAACCATCAACAATAAATCTAAACCAATTCTATATGCAGATGACACTAGTATAATATTTAAGAACTCTAAATTTGAAAACTTTAAAAATGACATAAATATTGTATTTGAAGCCTTAAACAGATGGTTCGAAGCCAATTTACTCTCATTAAATTTTGATAAAACCCATTACATATCATTCACAACTAAAAACAACCACCAAATTGATCTGGACATCAGTTATGCCAACAAATTAATCTGTAAAGTACTTGATACAAAATTCCTTGGAATACATGTAGACAGTACACTGTCTTGGAAAATACATATTGAACAAATTATACCTAAATTAAATGCAGCTTGCTATGCGATGAGATCAATTAAGCCTTTTATGTCACAGGAAACATTGAAGATGGTTTACCATGCCTACTTTCATTCTATTATGAACTATGGATTAATATTTTGGGGGAACTCTTCACATAGTGTAATAATTTTTAAAATACAAAAGAATATAATTAGAATCATTACAGGATGTAGAAGTAGAGATTCATGTAGAGAATTATTTAAGAAATTAAAAATTCTACCTCTTCAATCGCAATACATATTATCGCTTCTCTTATTTGTTGTTTACAACAAAGATAAATTCAAATTAAATTCTGATGTCTATAACATGAATACTAGACAAAAATATAACTTCCACCTACCCTCATCAACTTTATCAGTATATCAAAAAGGAGTCTACTTTACTGGCATAAAAGTGTTCAACAATCTGCCACAAAGTATTAAAAACTTGGGCAATGATACTAAAAAGTTTAAATCAGAGTTAAAGAATTATCTACATGCTCATTCCTTCTACTCTTTAGATGAATACTTCAATGTAAATAGAGAATGATGTAAAATTAAGTTATATTAATTTTTAAGCTAAAATTGCCTGTACTTATGTATGTAACCTTTTGACTTGTTCTGTATCCAAAGGTACTAACCTGCTTAGGATTTATAGAATGTAAATAAATTCAATTCAATTCAATTTTAGGTCTGCATTATAAAACATGTAACAGAAAAATGATAGAAAGACCAACATTTTGATCAAAATGTGTCTCTAAGTAAAAGTTACCAATTTTATCTGTGAAATATTTACCTTTGTGTAATTCTGACCTGCCTCTTTGTAGATACAAATATTCACAAATTGACTTTCTTTACATAATTTATATAACCATTTTTTTGGGCACCAATGCAAATTTTAAGCTTTATATCACTACCTGTATAGGTAGGAAGGTTTAGTATGTCCTTCTGAAATTTACTGAATTTTTTAAGAGAAATACATGCCAATATATTTTAATATAAGTTTTCATTTTTAATTGGTTTATCTGCAGTGTTGTTGTGTCAACCAATTTACTAAATTTTAATCTCAGTTCTCCATAGGAACCCCAGTGTTCCTAATATATACATATTAATGCAAATGTGGTACAGAGGTTTCTTTCTTATAACCAGGGCTTCAGCAGGACAACTTAAATCCAGCACTCATTTAACACAATCTCCTCCTGTATACATTTACACCTGCTCCCAATCTTTATTAAACAGCCTGTAGTAAGTGGGGGAGTATATCTGTGGAGCTCTTCTTATACCTGTAAACCATAAAAACAAAACTGGCCATGCAGCCAGCATGACGTTGCTCCAAGTTCATTCCAAAGGCCAGGAGATAATTTTCCACTGAAACAGAACATCTGACCCAAAAGTTTCTAGATCTCTCTCTTTCTGAAGGAGGACGTGAGGGACTCTCAATGTGTTAGTTAGAAGTTAATGTATTCTTGTATAAAAGACCAGAAAGATTCTGTACTTAAAGATACCCCTTTCAGAAAAAGCTCCTTCAGCATGTGCACACTTATTGAATAGTTTCAGTCAATGCAGGAAGAACAGACTAAAGGTAACCTTTGTTTTGTTTTTACTGCAACAAAGCATGTAACTGGTACCTATTTCTCACTTAACAAACTTCATTTTTGCTACAGTAAGTTCTGAAACTACATGGAAGTTTCACTTTTGATTTATGAATTTTCACCTTACAATTTCTATGGAACGAATTATCTTTGCAAATTGAGGGACACCTGCATTGGATTCTCCACTGCATCCTGTTCCAACTGTTTCTATATCATAAATGTTTTTACCTAGTCATGACACTGATAAGTTCAGGGAAAAAGAAAAAGAAGTTAGAGCCATATTTTGTAACCATGAAGGGTGCCTGACTTATAAAATATTGTATATTGCTAGAAGCTCCTGCATGAGAAGTGCTGAGTTGGCAGGTGCTTTGTCATGACATGTTTGTCAGATCCTGAATTCACACTTTTGCAGCTTCTTACCATTTTATGTCATCTTAAAATACATTTAAACACCTATATATAGAAATGTTGGTTGTTCCAGAGACTGACTCTGTTCTCTCCTGAGATAAAACACCTTGACAGTGTACAGCTGATGATGATGATGATGATATCAGTGTCATCAAATTTTAGAACAATATGTATAAGGTAATTAATATTTATTAATGCAATATCTTGTACTGTCAGGTGAGTTCTGTGAGCGAGCCAAATGCCAGGAGGAGATGTGTGAGAATGGAGGTCGGTGTATAACACTTGGTAATAAGGCTGTCTGCTACTGTCCACCTGAGTTCACTGGATCCAAGTGCCAAGTCTCCCAAGTTAGTTAACAACAGATACTCTTTCTGACTGTAGCAAGTCCTACAACTTGAATACAGTAGCCCCTTGTTGAACATGGTGTTACACTCTTGAATTATACCAAGGGCATCCAAACTGTGCTGTGCAAATGCTTGATCTTATGCAAGATAAAGGGAACTGGCCTCAGAAATGTATAAGAAAGTTCAACGTTCAAAATAATCTAGTATAGTATATGCATATATTCTACAATGAACTTTTATTTATACCTACCATAATTATAAACACAAGTCGTTTGTGCCATATCCTTGATCCACAAAGAAATTGCTTTCTTGGTCTCATATACCTATCAGTCATGTTAATCCGGCACTAGCCCCCAATGTCTGTTTTATGTCTTTTGATAGTTCTGAGAAAACTTTCATTAATATGCAAATGCCTTCAAATAAGTCCATACTTTCACTGCACTCTGGTTTATCAAGGACATAATTTTCTGTCATTACTTCTCTGACTTTCTTTGCAAAAGCATCATTACATTTATGTTCTGAGGCAAAATAATACTTACATGCAAGAAAGATAGGAAAAGTTATTCCATATGCTATTTGACACAGATGTCCTCCCAGCGAAAGCCATGTTGTCACTGTGAGGCCGGGTGGTGGGCACAGGCACTGTAGATGTTTACATCAGATCTGATGATGCCCATATGCTGCATAATGATTACTGAACCTCGACCAAGTTGTATAAAACTTCTGTCTAAATTAATTTAAATTGTTAAAATCAAAACCATATTAACAACAAGGGGTTGAATGAATGAATGAATGAATGTATAATGGGTGGACCTTCTCAGCCCTCACACCGCGAGCTATAGAGATCTATTGTGCTTCACAACAAGGGGTTATTGCATTAACACGTTCATTGAAAAGCATGTTAAAGATCTTGAGTTAAGCACTTTAACTACCTACAAAGTTACTTTCTCTGCTCCATACAGGCATTGAAGTTTATTTTTATGGGTTCCTTGCATGAAGTACATAAAGGTGGAGGTCTTGTAAATCCGTCTGTCTGTACATTTAATCTCTGGAACTGATCGATTTCAATCCAAGTGATTTGAGGTCTACCATGAAAGTTGCTGGGTAAATTTAAATTCACATCCACCCAGTACTTTACATAAAACTCAAATTAGACATACATCAATTTCCTCAAAAATGAGTCACATACAAGAACTTGGTGGAAGGCATAGCATGCAGATGTTATTGAGACCTACAATATTTATATGAACTGTTTTACAGTTCCATCAATGTTTAATAAAATTCAAGGAAGAATAAATCCTAACTGCAGTGTGATTAGCCTTGTAGTGGCACATTTGTATTTTCAATGAACAAACATCAACATTTATCAGGCATGCAATAGAACAATGAATACATTTAGAAAATGTGTGTATACTTAGCCTACTCTCCTCATTTTTAACAAATAATTCTTCACTATTATTGCTTGGAAAGGCTCAGAACTACAAATAAATAGTTATCAGCATATGCCTACATGCTAAATAATGCTGAATATCTACTTGGTATTCACTTTTCAAATTTTATAAAATTTTGATATACATTTTATTCTTTAAAAATAATTCTCATCAAATTTCAAAATACTCTTCTTGTACAACTCCACATGCAGCAATAGCATTTGTATCATGTTCCAATGTGTGACATTCCTTTCTAACCCTGCTTCTAATGTGTATTACTTAAAAAACAGTATTTTCATTGCGGTAACCACCTGAAGAAGACTGTACAGAAGCTGAAACATTTCATGTCACAAACCAATTAATTTGATGTCAAGGGCATGATAGTGACTTTGTGCCTAATTAATGAATAATTACACAACTGAATATCACTGGTGTGTTGCATACAAAGGACGAATAAATACAGCCAACTTGTCTATATTATGCCTAAAATCACTAAAGTGTTCTAATATATAATCTGTATTAACAATCCTTTACTAATTTGCTACATAAATACATATAAATAGTTGTACATGAGTACAGGGATGCAACAGATGAGAATTCAGTATTGCAAACCCTACAGACTACACTTAAAAAGTATATACACATTTATTTTCTTACTCCTTTAACAACAAAGCACACAGATGTTAGTTCACTGTTATGACATATACTTTAAAACTCACGTTCAAAATGCGAATCACCAACATCTGTGCATTACTGACAATGATGTACAAAGACTGACACACTTCTAGGCACAATGCTGTTGGAACTGCAAGGTAGATAACGTGACAGACATGGTTAGTTCAGCTGCTTGTGTTTAAAAAAAAACATGAAATTGCTCACAAGCTGAATCTCAAAGCAGCAGTATATAAATTTGCTGTCCTCAAGGACAGGGAAGTAACTGCTTGTAAAATAGAAAACAACACTGGTACAGTAGGCTGGGTGGGACATGAGCTATGGCCTTGAGATGTGCATTAGCTTTGCCACTGGAGGTAATTCAATTTGTATTTACATTTTTATCTTTAGTAGTACAAAGAAAGCTGTTCCCCTCCCCTCCCTCTCTAGCATCTTGGAGCTCAAATCCTGCCAAACAACTTATAGCACTCGTTCCCAGTTCTCATTTATGCATCTCCATTATTTTAAATTGTGTCATTAGTTCATTGCATGTGTCTTTGGTCTTTAGAAGCATGTAAATATGATTAAATTTGTCTTGTGATTCTGACACTTGTTCACTGTGGATGTTTTCCACTTGTGGGGTCTAAGTGTGTGGAAAGAAAGAAAGAAAGTCACAAAAATTTGAATTGTTTCATATTTGGTCCGTTACACTATCAATCACAAATTGTCAATGAATAATCCGTCGAGTGTAACAACGTTCTTAGGTCACTTATTTATTTCACTCGCCTTACATGTTTCGGTTCAAAAGAAACCATCATCAGAGGCACGTTACAAACACATGAAACCACTGGCGTTGTATTGTACACAGTATGTAAGCTGCGTGATCTGCTACAGATGTCGGAGTGTAAAAGCACAACACTTTCTAGTAACGTTGAATGCATGTACACCTCTTGCATTCCATCCAAAGAATGCTCTCAAATTGAGCCGTCAATGTTAAAATATTTAAAAGCTTAAAACATTTGAAATAAAATTTGGCTCCTTCTTGTTGATTCGTCCCGGTGATGGGAATCGTCAACTTGAGGTTGTGTATGCTTTTGGTCGGATGTGTCTTACGCGTTGTGTGTTGTGTACACAACACACAAGCTTAAGCTTTTAAATATTTTAACATTGACGGCTCAATTTGAGAGCATTCTTTGGATGGAATGCAAGAGGTGTACATGCATTCAACGTTACTAGAAAGTGTTGTGCTTTTACACTCCGACATCTCTAGCAGATCACGCAGCTTACATACTGTGTACAATACAACGCCAGTGGTTTCATGTGTTTGTAACGTGCCTCTGATGATGGTTCTTTTGAACCGAAACATGTAAGGCGAGTGAAATAAATAAGTGACCTAAGAACGTTGTTACACTCGACGGATTATTCATTGCCAATTTGTCACAAAAATTTAATTACTTCGACCTGTTAATGACACTGCATTCTGATTTTCTAGGGTTCCAACTCATCTGTAAAGCTCCACAAAATAATTCTCTGATTACAATGGTTCCAGAGCAGAATTGGTTACTTTCCCAAATGTGCTATGAATTAAAGATAATTCTTGTGTCATCACTGCATTACAGAAATAAAATTTGGAGTTATTTGTAACAGTCATAAGAAATGTATTTAGCAATGTATGATTAATGCTGACATAAATATGTAATCTTAACTGCCAAACATGGACAAAATTTGGAATTTGTAAACGGTTCTAACATCAAAAAACACACAACTCAAAAACAAAACAAATGTAAAATATTATGAAAACCAATTCATTATGCCTGCCAATAAACAAACAACACAGCAAAATTATTTCATTAGATGTGCTTTGCGACACCTAAAACATTTTTTTTTTGATCATGGAAAAATAATCTTGAGAGGATTACATATTTTCTTGGAGAAATGTATATTAGTAGTCCTTGGGGCGAGATAGGTGCTGGGACAGCGCAGTCGGTATAGTGACTAGCTACAGGCTGGACGACCAAGGGGTTGGAGTTCGAGTCCCAGTAAGGTCAAGAATTTTCTCTTCTCCAAATCGTCCAGACTGGCTCTGGGGTCCACCCAACCTCCTATTCAACGGATACCAGGGGTTCTTTCCCCGGGTGTAAAGGGGCCGGGCCGTGAAGCTGACCACTTACCTCAAACTAGTGCCAGAGTCATGAAAATGTGGATCTATACATCCACTTCCCCATATGCCTTCATGGCATAATGCTTATTTAGTTAAGCAAAGGGAAACTTTACCTTTTTACCTTTTACCTTGGGGAGAGGTAGAAAACTGACATTCACACAGGACAACAAAAACAGTCAGGCCAGCCTTCAATCTCCACACCTCTACTCCTCCAATGTTGTTGGCATACAGGTAAATCACTGATTTAAGATCTCACTATAATGGCACTGTAGTAGCATTTGCATCTTGCTGAAATGACACTCTTCAGTGGTGTATATTACAGCAACACATGGCATAGTACTCTTCTGCAATATGCAGTACAGTATTTTCAGGGAAGAATGGTAGTTATTCCTCCTGACAAGAGATCACAACCGTTTTCCCTGCAGGTTACTGGCAACTGATTTTTCTAGTGTCACATGTGATCTTTTTGGGTCAGTACAAATTTATGCCAACTGATAGTGGTATCACCAGATCACACAATTAAATCTGGAAAGGATTCGCTTTCATCACAATTTTATAGCAACAATTTAAAGACATTTAAGCTGCAAATCTGTATCATCTTTATTCATGTCCTGCAACAGTCTCAGTAAATGTGGTTTCTGAAGTGTACCGTGCAGAAAGCAGTGAACAATGGTTTTACAGACATTAGTGTCAGATTTGAGTCCCAGAGACTTTCTAGGAAATTGTTTCAAATTTTTAGCAGTTTCCATGCACTTTCACCATCAGTTGACTTGTTTGATGTTGCATGATGTCCCTGGTGCAATCTTTAATCTGCCTCAAATTTATCTTACATCCTTCAGATGTTTAAATATGTTGACAGTCCAGTTTAAAGATAATTTCTCCAATGTTTTACAATTCATTTACATCCTCAGTTTTGAAGCTAAGAATAAATCAATTTATTTTGCTCAAGTGTGAAATGAAGTCCATCACTTTCATTAACAAATGAATGCTGTGTTGCTGATTGTATGACACTGAATAGAAGACCAATGTGTGTGGCAGTATTATTATGCATCACTGTTAAATGTCATTTCATTGTTTGTAATTTTATATGTTTTATGAAAGTTTGAAGAAAGTGTACATTTCTTAGAGACACACTGGATACTTCATTCAAAGCATTCCTCTCTGAATTCTGCAGGGTACAAGCTAGTCTCCAGGACCTGAACAAGATTGGTGACCTGCATTCGCATCACTGATACAGGGGGTCCCGCCAGATCATCAGTTAATACAAACCAATAACTCACATTCAACTCAATCTCCCTAATCATCAGTGATATCACATATCCTGATGACTAGTGCCATACCTGCAGCTCAAAACCTCTCTGTCCGGCATATCAGCAGTGGCCACCATGTGATATATTTTAATTCTGTTGTGTTTAGTGGTTAAAAGTGACTTCTGTGAGGATATATATACGTGCACATCCAAGGCAATGTCAAATGCAGAGTCAGGATCACTTAATGCAATATGAACAATGACTGGCACCCACAGAGCACAGCTCTGGAATTTAGCCAGTTAAAACTCCTATAAAATGTTGCCCGTGTCTAGTCTACAGTAGCTAATAGGAAGTAACATTGTGTTCTGCTGTTAATTTCATCAAATTTACTTTCTTAACTAAGCTGAATCAAAACAGACTACCACATCTGTATCTGTTATGTTAGTCGATAATTTAGTTACTTAATAATTTCCTAAAGGTGTGCAACATTACCTTGCACTTATGTTAGACACTGTTCTCTGAGATACAACTCATGCAAAATACACATGACATTTCAGAAGATGGTTCATTTGCTATCTTCAGGCGACTGGTTGTTGTTATATTGACAGGTTTGCTATTCACTGTCATTGTCAACACACTGATAGCAGCTAGGGACGAACTCAGAATCATGTGCATACTAAACCACATCAGAAATCTACTGGTAGCATACAAGTTTGGTAATCAAATGCTCACGATTTACCCAACTGTCGACATTAAAATCTAAAGTAAAAGAACATGTCGGTATGCTGAAAAATGTAGTAAAAATGCGTAAAGCTGTCCCTGTAACGCGAAGGCCCAGAGCATGTGAGAGGTCGAGGCTCCCACATCTTCTAAGACAATACGGTAGGTTCACAGACGGCAGTAAGGCTGTGAGCCTTATGCACCCGTCACTCTCTCAACCCCAGGGCCATATTGCTGCTGTAAGGATTAGATAAACTGAAAAATTCAATGACCTCATCGGGACTCGAACCAGCGACCTTCCAAGCTTGTAACATAGTGCCTCAACCAACTATGCTACCACATGTCCCATGAGAATGTACTGCATATTAAATGTACTTTAGACAGTGGATGAATTCCAACTTAACTGCAGCTAATTTAGTCAATTCTTGTCATAAGATCTCCATAATACATCATCTGTTTCTGTGTTGTTTCAAAGTGAAGCCAAAGAGATTTCTTGGACAAACAATGCTCTTGACTTTCTTAATTGGAATGATGTTTGATAAAGAAGCCTCACCTGTTACAACATGATTAAATAAATAACTGCATACAAACACCTACTGTGGCTATTACTCGTATTTCTGTTTACTTCCTGCAAACATCTTACAGTTATCGGCAGGCTTATCATCCACATTCGTTTTCTCCCACATTTGAACACATATGAGTAACTGACGTAGCTTAATGCCCCCCCGGATGGGTTGCAAACTTATTGTTCCTCTCCTATTTCCTGCCCCCTTCCTCTGCATCCTGCATTACCAACTTCCACGAGATGAACACAGCTTCTAGTACTTCAAACATAGTAAGGAAGTAAGCCTTGAGACAACTGAAATTCTCTGAAGGACCAAAACTTAATGTCCTCAAGTATCTTTAGGGCCAAAAACTTCAGGAAACCTGTTAAGATTGTACATTGAGAAAGGGCATCATCGGGGTACCCAAATTTGACGGTTATCATGTGATTGGGACTGTCTCTTGCCAATGCACTCCTCAGACATGTCCTTGTTTTGCCTGAAGATGGAAACAAAACCTGTTTCTGTAATACATTTTTTATTTAAATGGCTAATGTGTAAGATATTAAATTAACCATGTCCTTTTATATTTAATATCCTGAACAAAATGTCAACCACCAGGAGAAATGCCTACCTTCTTACATAACACCCATTTATTTGTTCCATCAACACCAAATCAAATAAATACCTAGTGCACTAAACATCTTGACAGACTGTACATTATATTAATAATAATAAATATCAGTGGGGAGAAGAAAAGCCTGCAGTTGCTTAGTTCTTATGGTCCTCGATTGGCTTATCAGTGACAGTTCACTGATTACAGAGTAGCTATGTGACCTCTTCCCTCACTCACAACAATATCTGAAACTCTTTTACAGGTATGTACATTCCATACTTCAAACTGACATTATCAGGTCATAACTTTTATCTTCTAAATTATTTACATATGCCCTGCACTCGCAGACATGAATGAAAATGTCTTACTCTCATCTGAAATTCAGAAACAACATACAGTTTCTATTCATTTTATTTCAACCACTTTGAAGAGTGGTTATATGGAATGGTTTCTGTAACATAATAACAATTAATTTTAACATTTAAACATTTACTATCTAAGATTTTTAATATACATACAATTGTATTGCCATTGTTAACTTAGGGACTACTGATGAACAAGTACACCTTGTCTTCACTTACAACTCAAAATAAATACAAGCAGATGAGTATCACATGTTATGGTTTGGGAACACAGACATTCTCCATTAAAAGCCCTTCACAATAAACAGACAAACAGTTATTGCTAGCTTATCCTGATCATGTCCCCATTCCAAATTTAAGTTAAATAAAGCAAACTGAATACAAAAAACACCTGACTAGGTATCAGAACCAATAAATGTACAAGGACACACATAAATGTGACCAATGAGGGTTCATGAAATTATACTATCATATAACAGATTTTTACAACTCACTGCCCTAAATTTGCTGTTGTAAGTCTTCTGTAACATAAATTAGCTTCTGCTGTCCAGTTTATCTATCTAAGATTTTGAACAAAAGAGAAATGCTTCAACCACTGGCATCGTAAAAATAAACAGAAGAACCAATGACTGAATACCCGTGCAGATGGGTCACGGCTAGAGGAAGTCTCACAGCTTCCAGCATACTGCTCAGCCTGTCCAGAAGAGGCATCAGCTCCACACATCAGCTTGGACCCAGGTGCAATCGGCAAACCCACATGTCAACAGTGGATGCCAGAAATGATTCCTGATGTCAACCTCCACAAAATATTCACATGTTAAGTCCCATTTTGGAAATAAAGCAAACCTTAGCCTCCAGTCTCCTGTGCAAGGTGTGTAAATCTATTTCATCCAATTTCTACTCATTTTGATACAGTTCTTTTCATTTAATAATGACTTTATCTGTTGAAATTTATTTACAACTGCATGAGCAGTTTTTTGTTTACAACTCTGCCATACTGAAATTTATGCTGAAACATTTTCCTTACAGTTCACATGAGTATCATACATGAACACCTATTTCAATGTGTTACTCTCAGATGCCATTTCCACAGAAAGAATATGAGCGAATATTCTACAGTAACAAGAACTTGAGATTAACAGGCATATAATGTACATGCCTGCTTCATGGCAGCTATGGAAAGATTTACTGGGATAATTTTGAGGGAAACTGTGGTGTGTACAGACTGCCAGCCTGTTCACTTTTCCGCAAGTCTCTATACACTCAGTGCAAGTCAATGTGAGTAGTATGTCCCTCTCACACTGGACCAGCTACAGCATCATCTGAAGGCTCTCACATAATCTCTCTCATGTGTGACAGCGCGCACACATGCACATCATCACTCATGAGAGCAATAAGGACATGTAGACCTCCTTACAATGAAAAATAAGTTTCCAATGGATGAATATAGCTAAGTGACGAGCATTACTGTTGCCTCATCATAAACACAATTTCTGGGTTACAAATGCCACACTCCTATATCATCCCATTCCTTTTATGTTCCTTACCAGTTGCAGTCCCTTCTAATTTTCTACCTCACTTAAGATTTTTTAATCCAGTGTTCAAAAATAATGGAATAATTAAATGCAAATAAAACATGTATTACAATCTGTGTGCCCAGTACTGCAGAACATTCTACCAGACACTACCTTTCCAATGGAACAGCCAGTGTCCACTGCTGCTCTCAACAACTAAACGTAAACTGCACAGTCCAATTTCTTCTTAAATGCAGTGAAGGAGTTAACAAGCAGAAGTAAAATCACTCCGCAGTCTCAGCCCTTACTGCATCCATTTCCCTTCATCAAAGGACTTTCTCGTGCACATTAACATCCCTACTTACAGCAACAGAGTTGAAGACAAAACCAAAGAAAACCTTTAATGTGCTACAGTTCTTTTGGGCAATCAGCTATGTGTCCAAGTTGAGTTAAATACCAGTGTTTCAGACATGTTCTCTGTCTCCATCATCAGAGATGACATGACATGGAGGATATCTCTGAAATATCAGTGTTTAACTCAACACTGGCACAGCTGATTACCTGAGATCTTAACACATTTATTCATTGTGAAAACTTCAAATCTTACATAACCTTCATTTTGGAAATCTTACTCTGTACTGCTGAATAGTAACCTTAGGTAAAGAAATCATTAAACTGAGGCATTTTAAATAAGTATCATACTGAACATGTAAAATGATCCACAGAATGAAGTAAAAAAGGAACATGGTACTAAACACTGGCTCCACCTCTCATGCACACAGAAATTGCAAGTGAGGATAGAGCTCCAGCCTCTCTGCTCTGAGGGATACGTACCGGCCGGGTTAGGTCAAGCACAACAGGGGTGGACATGTATCAAGCATGACACAGTGTTAGTGGTGTTGGTGGGGCCTGTCAGCTTTCATGCAGAGGCAGAATGATTGCACCAACATCAAGGAAGGGGTGATGTGACACCAGCTCTCGCTGTCTGCGCTGTACTTCACTCTAGTCACTGCACCCCCCTGCATCAGGAATCATGCAATTCATCATTTGTCATATATTGTAATGTCTTGAAATCCAGCACAGTGACAGGGTACACAATGGGAAATACATAAATGTGAATATTTGAAAGAATTACACTTTCCCTTGTACTGTGTTAACTGTGCTGTCTTCCCTATGTATACAGCTGAACAGCATCAGCATCAGCCTTCACTTCCGTATCGTGTCAAATACTTAAGAATAATTTCAAAAGGAAGGTAGTTACAATACTGAGAACAATTAAAACCCCAACTTTCACTGTTCTTCTTATCAGACAGCAGAGTGCACACACTGCAGGAGCCATGACAGTAGCCAGCTACAACTAGCTACAGTCAGAATTGCTAAACTTCAATATTTGACAGATGCAACAAGAGTATTTCTCTTCAAAACATCCAAACTGGGTATGGGACCACTGAATTTACTGTCCAATGATAAAAGTGGGCCTTTTCCCTTGGTTTCAAAGTATCAAGAACATGAAGCTACTGTGGTCAAGAATTATCTGCATTCTTCTGCGTACCCTCATGGCTTGAGGCTTGAGCAAAAATAAACTTCATCTTGTAAACTGACTTATTTTGTGAGTTCAGTAGCCCATTAACAAAACTGAGGCTGAACACTGATATCTCTGTTTGTTCTGATTTGTCTCATGAGGGAGAAGATTCATGGATCTGCATGACATTTTGTGATAAGAAGCCACAATCAATACAAATATAAGACAATTAAATGAGTTGATTCCATTCAAGTATTATAAAACAAGAATAAAGAACAAATCAAAGTTTAAAATTATCAATTTTAATAACTTATTATTTTATAAAATGTAAAATAAGACAAGTCATGATTTTGGCCTAAATTATAAAATAAAACTTTTTTATAAAATGCAAAATAAAGGCAGTCTGCTGGCATAAAAAGGAATACACTATAACATGAGCAGGATACATCAATAAAGAAACATAACATTAAATACACCTAATTCAAATAAACAAAATGTCAAGTTCTGTATCTACTTCCTGTTAATATAAATATCAAAACCTCTTACTGACCTGCAGATGGTCAAAAGAACTCAGATCTGCTGGTAACATTCACTTTTACTGGCACACAATATGCATTTATGTTAATAAATCAGAATTACTATACAGTATGATGTGTATTAACTTCATGTGATTATCAAGTTACATTTAAAACAGCTATCTTTATTTGACTAACAGATGCATCAGCAAATAAAACACATGCCCACTGGCAACAGAATACCATAAAACATATTCTTTGTACAATGCATATTTTTAGCACTAGAGGAATTAAGTATTGGATTCATCTGGCTACTGATAGGGACCAGTGAAAGGTTCTTGTGTACAAGTAAAGAACCTTCAGGTAAAACACAATCTTGGGAAATTCTTGAGTAGCTGAGCTACTGGCAGCTTCTCAAGAAGGAATCAGCTCCATGAAGTTAGTAAGTTAAAAGGAAGTTTCAAGACATAATTCTATAATCACGTTTGTAGTGGAATGTCATTTTTTTAATTAGGTTGCATCTCACGTTCAAATAAACATGGCTGAACTTTCACTAAGTTCTGGGACTGAAAATCAAATTGTACAAAGTAGTACAAAATGCCTATTAACTTACATTGCACAAATACCACTATCTGGGAGTAAACTGCACTTGCTAACCAAATGTTTTCTATACTATAAGCATGCTGAATCTTTATAAGGAGTTACTGTGCAACATTATTACAAGCCAAGATTTCTTTTAACATCTGCAGAACACTACTATAACTTGCCCTTTTCACAGTAACATGTATAAAAACATTCAAAACCAATATGAAAATACAGTTGCACCATGTTTTAACCCTTTCTGTGTTATTAACACAACTGTCCCAGGCTAATATTTTTTGACATAAAGAAAATATTACGTCCTGTATATTTCCATAGTATTTCATTTCCACCTGTGATGAAAAGCCACAAACAGAAAACTGTGCAGAAACAGTGGAAGAGGTTTATTTCCTAAATCTCTCAAATGGTGAAGACATTTGAAGCACAAATGGTCAATGTTTCTCTGGCCCATACAGGTGACAGAAATTGACTGGCAATTTATTGTAGTGAGTTCTGACTTCTCGTATGCTTCATGCTGGCTCAGGGAAAATGAAAACCTAAACATGAGAACTGAACTGTAATTATATCTGTTGCATGTTATACAATATACTGTTCACTAGAACTTCATAAACATGGTTTTCCTACAACAGATAAAAGACTGCAATAGGGATCAACACAGCAGTGTCAGAAACATATTCATCCTGTGTACAACAAATAAAATTAAATGTTAAGAATACTCATACCTGTCTGAATTACAAGAACTTTAAATGTTCATATGTCAACCTACAGTATATTGTTCTGTTTATGAGACTCATTCAGAACACGAAGATATTGTTTTCAGATTTTTACAGCAGGGAGCGTTCAGACTGAGATGTTACACTGTGCAGTACTGTAAGAAGATACCAATGTTTTGGAGTAACATGCTGTTTCCATCTTCAAGGCTGAAGTGATGACTGTTGGTTATGTGGGCAGATCTCTTTCAAGGACAGTTTTTGCTGTCAGTTCCCAGTGCCCATTCCTACTGGCCTGGACTGGCATTCTCACAAATATGAGTGACCACATTAACTGCAACCCACCCGTACAATCTGACCACATCCTCACCAGACTCACTTTCACCCTGAAGATGGAGACAGCACATTCCTCTAGAACAGGAGTTCTTAACGTGGGATCTACGGGCCCCCAAGGGTCAGTGAACTTGGATGGGGGGAAAAAATGACATCTTTATTTTCACTAACCTCTAACCGAAATTTAATATTTCCTTCAATTAGGAATGTAGGCAACTAAGCATAGTAGCAATAGCAATACCTATAACTTTGTCACCAACAAAAATCACAGACATTTTCATATAACATTACAGCTGTTGCAGTAATCTCATAATATCTTTCATGCTCATCACTACTTCGAAATTATGGTAGTTATTAGATTGCACATGATCACAGTCTTCTTGTCTACATATGCTCGTGTGATGTACCTGGCCAACTATCGGGCAACACTGCACCTAGCAGTTGTTCGGCAACCAAACTGTGTCTCATATTGGTGACCCAGATACAGTTAGTGCCTTGTAACTTTAGCCGTGCGGAAAGGTAAACGCTGTTGGGGAGCACACGAAGCTGTACACTTGCTGTGGTGACGTTCAGAGCTGCTCCCCGAGCAGAAAACATTGCCTATGGACACCAACAAGCAACACAACGTACTATACACCTGACCACACTCCAAGATGCTACATTCCAAACTGCTAGTACCCACGCTGACATGAGCTGATAAGACTGCTCCCCCAGCTCCACGAGAGATGGTATGACCCCTCTACCACAGCTAGAGTTCCGAGGAACTAACGGTACCTACACTGCTCTCCAGTATTCTTTATCTAGGATTGTTTGTTGATCAATACATGGAAGTGAGTGAGTCGTTTTCATTGTAAGTTTTGCAAAACTGGAGAGTTCAAATGAGAAGTATGACTAGATATTACATGGTTTCACTTGCATTAATGAATGTGACGGGTCACAAAAGTTGTATGTGGGGAAAAATCCTTGTGAATGGAAGTATGAAGTCAGCAAAACTGAAACAGCACCTCATGTCTGTCCATTCCGAAAATGCATCTAATGATGTAGGATTTCTTTCCTGTGTGTGTGTGTGTGTGTGGGGGGGGGGAGTGGGACACTTCCAAAACTTGGATTTGCCATCCCTGACCACCAGACAGAAGCAGCCCCACACTACTGGAAAGACTTTAGTAAAGCCAGACGAACTGGAAATGGTGAAGCTGGTTTGTGGACTGGAACAGAGGAAAAAACTGGAAGCATTTCCCTTGTCATATGATGTGATACATTCTAGAAGAGATGCTCTTCCTTTTAACATTTTACAGAGTTCCCCTTCAGCATGCAACTGGATGAAATTACAATCCTCTCAATGTAGCCAATGTTCCTCTTTTGTTTGCTACACGTATTGTGACCCCATCAACAAGGAATTCCTATTTTGTGGGCCTCTTTGGAAACTACACAGACCACTGATATTTTGGAAATGTCTTTTGCCAAACAAAACTTTGACTGTAAAGTAGAGCTTCACTCTCTTTGAACAGACAGCTCCTGCAACGCTTGGTAATATTTTTGGTTTTGCTGCATCAGTGAAAAAGGAAGCTCCTCATGTCATCATCACTCGTTGCTTTTTATAGCCATGCACTGGCAACAAAGGCTCTTCCAACAGCCCTGAAAGAAAGTTTTGTCGACAGTCACGAAAGTCAACAACTTTATAATTTGGTCTCTGAATCATTGCATTTTTAAAACATTTTGTTAAAAAAAATGGAAGCAGAATATTAGGTGCTCCTCTACTATACAGAAGTTTGTTGGCTTTCAAGAGGACAGGTCTCAAAGTGCTTCTTCGAATTAAGGGTAGAAATTTCACTTTTCTGAAAGAAAGAAGAAAATCCACCTTTGGAACACTTTGAAAGAAAGGACTTTATCCATGGGTTGGCTTACCTATCAGATATTTTTAACAATATGAATGAGATACATCTTTCAATTCAAGGTCCGGAAGTCGTCATTACATTGTATGGGATGGTACTGAAAAATTACAAGCTTTCTTGGTTAACTTTGCTTTTTGCTTCTATGGTGTCTATGTGCAACTTTGGCTTATCATTTTTCTTTACTGACGCTACAAATTTCAGTCAAACTGGCCGTCTTCAGGTGTACAGGTTGTGGTGCTCACTGTATGGCTGTTTTGTTTCACTTATGTCGTTGCCTCGGATTACTTCTGATTGAGTGGGTTACAAACCTGCTTTGACTTTGGTGTCCTTGAGCTGCATGTGTTTGCCATATGGTCTTGTTTGGATTTTTGGCTGTGGCTGTCTTGAATGTGCTTGCTGGGGCAGAAGATTTTTGTGTGGTGGTGTGCCATCATGGCTGTTCTAGGCTAAGTTGTCAATATGGAAGAAGAGAGGAGAGGCTGACATCCTTGCAAACTTCCAAATGCTGCAGAAAGTGATTTACCAAGCTGAAGCTGAGATACAAAATTCTGTCCAGTTCTTTGACAAGAGAAATCTGCAAACACCTGGAAATGCTTCAGAACTCTTCCAGGAGTTATTTCTGTCTTAATGTAATTAAAGTTCAACCATGGATCCTCAATCCTTTTCCTTCTGATATAAACTGTACCAAAGATGCTGACCTACACAAAGATGAACTGATTGTTCTTAGGACAAAAAACTTACTACAAGTTGAATTTAGCTCAAAAAGCCTTGAAGAATTCTGGTGTTCCTTGAGAGAAGCATATCATTGCCTTGTAATGTGAGCTACTGAAGCCTTCATTCCATTTGCAACAATATATTTTTGTGAATTGGGGTTTTCAACACTTGTAACCATCAAAACAAAAAATCAAAATATACAGGATGTTCAACATGACATGCATGTTGCCTTGTCAAGGACCACCCAACAGTACAACGTTCTTAATGAAACTAAGCAACAACAGTCTTCATTCTGGTAAGTCTTTAAAAACAGGATTTAACTTTAACTTGCATATATTTTAAATGTACTGTCTTGTTATTTAATGCATTAATGAAGCACATGTATATTACTATATCACAAATTTGCTATTTCAGTATTTTGATAACTGTATTTCAATACAACTGGTTTCCTTCATAATCCTACATATTTTATTTTATGCATTTAAAATTATTCTGAGAAGGTGTCCACAGGTTTCACTAGGCTGCAAAGCGACACGTCACACAAGAAAGGTTAAGAACGCCTACTCTAAAACATCTGTATCAACCTACAACAGTACTGTTATGTGTCACAACCCGGAAGACTACAATCTGAATGCAAATAATAACCTCGCTCCACAGAAGCAAATTTAATCTAAATGACACTTAAGATCCACTTGCCCATGTCTCGCAATATGCGCCAGACATGTGCTTTCAATTTCTGCCACTAGTTTCGGTTAACTTGCATGGTGCAAGTGTAATTCTGAGAATGTTGGACATACCAAGTACCATAACCATAGTGCCCCTGTTTTTAACTACTTTCTGGAAAACAACTGCATGAATCACTAACTACCCATTTCCTTTTGGCACAAACTGTGTTGCTCTGCAAGGGGTATAAATAATTTATTTGTGGTGCTTTTAGTGAAGAAAGGGTTAAGAAATGGCCAATGTATGGACTTTCATTTACTTTTCAGCCTTTGTTCAATCCCCCCTTTCCAAGCAACCCCATAGCTTGATATGTGAATGATCCCACAGAACAATACACAGCTGAGCTGGACCCTTCTGCAGAGGGAGACTCACCATCAACTTTGTCATTCCCCAGCTCTCTCACAACAAACTCACGCAGGCTAGCATAGGCTTTGTCCAGCGAGTGGTTCACCACCACAAGATCAAAGTTATCTGGCGTGTTTCCTGCATTAGGAAGCAAACACATCCATCAGTCAATCATTCAGTGCACTTAGCCTCAACCACAAAATGCTATAGCTGTCAGCATCAAGCAACTCCATACCTCAACATAATTTCATTTTAAGAAAATAGTACTGCATGAGTAGACAGAAGCAAGAAGCTGGCCACTTGGTACTCAGACATACATGAACATAGCTAGCACATTCTCTTTAAATCTCACTGACTTCCCCGACCATAACAACACAATATACAGTAGAACTTGGTTATGTCATCAAAGGGACCTAAAAATAGTGTCGTTATAAACGAATGTCGTAACCAAAATGGGCACTTCCACAGTAGCCTTATGTTAGTCACGTAAAAATCTACCAATAACAGAGTCAAAATGTTGCATTTTTTAGTGAATTACATAGTTAAATACAGACTAACATAACATTAACGTGGAATTAATATGGATTCTCCATATCGTTTGTACTGTAGAATTCACCAAACCAAATTTGCGGCATACGTCAGCTTTTTTCCTTCCATTTTCTATTTCACGAATCACTTTAACTTTCTCTTCAATGCTTAAAACTTTCCTTTTCATTGCCATATTTTCGCAACTGCACTTCTCTGGGTTTAGGCAGGAACACTATAGGGTAAGTAGACAATGTGAGGCCATTAGACGAGATTCTAGGAAAGGAATGCAGTTAACAACCTGCCGCGTCCTCTTGCACTATTCACGCAGTCCCACCCCGCACCCTTGTTTTCGCATAAAACCCACGCTCCTGTTGCAGCCCGCGGTTGTATTCTTCCAGGACAGTCACATCAGCAAGTAGAGAAAGTGAGGGTGGGCAGACACATCGAACTTTCCCACGATATCAGAGAAATTCAGGAATGAAAATGACGTTACATACAAGGTTGATGCATTTGTGCATGTCGTACTAAGCAAGGTATAAAAACAGTTGCTTTATGAGGAATTAGTTCGTACCATTGAATATTTGACGCAATAGACAAGGTGTCGCAGAAACCGATGTTGCTATAACCAAGTTTTACTGTATATATACCTCTGCTCTGGCCACAAACAACTTCCTAAATGGTGATAAATATAAAGCTATCCTTGTAAACAGGCAAAGGAGGCCCATATGGTTGTGAGAATTTGATGCTCCCACATTCTCTAGACAATCAGCAAACAGATGGCGGTAAGCTGTCAGCCTTATGCTCCAACCACTCTTTACCCCCAGGAAGATTCCTGGTTGAGTCAACCCCAGGGCCACAGTAAGACTGGAAGGATTAGGTCAACTGAAAAAATCAAGTTACCTCATCCGGAATCGAACGTGCAACCTTCTGGCTTGTAGCACAGTGCCTCAACCAACTATACTACATGCCTCCCCATTTCCTAAATGGAGATCTCTAAATTTGAATCCAACCCTTAGCATAATTAACAAAGCAAAAATGTCATGGATTTAACAGAACAGTGCTTATTACTTCTGTAAATAAAAATAATCAGTAATCATTGTTCCTGATGATTATTTTACTTGAACAATGTAGGTTCACTCATAATGACATATAAATATACTGGGTGTTATTTAACCCTTTCACTGCCAGCATGTTAAGTAACTCTCAGTACCCTCTGTGCTGAATTATAAATAATGTGACGTATTTGTGCTATGCAGGACACCCCGCCAGCAGTGATGCAACAGCTTTGGAGCACTGCCGCTGCTACGGTAACAGGCCAGTCAACACTCCGTCCCCCTCCCCTGCAGTGACGTAACAACACTTCCCACACTGACGTAACACAGGACAATGCTGCTAACACTAGGCAATTGGTAAACACGGCGTCATGCAACAGGGAAGCCCGTGCAACGACTGTTGCTAGGCAATCGGTAAATACGACATTACACAACAGTGGTACCAATCACATAACTGTTTTCTGTGTTGTCTGCGCCGAGCATAAATAAGGAGCAGCGAACACTCTTCAGTAGTGGATTACCTCCACCGTGACCCTGCGAGTCATAGGAGGCGACGAAAAGGGAAGTCTCAAATGTGAGGCAGTAAAATATGGTCACAAGTCCCAAGGGACTAGAACCCTAGAAACACTGCGCTGGCAAGGGCCAGCAGCATATACAAAAGACAGACCCATCCTCTCATCAGAGAGGGCGCCCCACAGAAACAAGACCGTAACTGTCAAGTAATATAAATCTGGTCATGAGCCCCAGGAGGATGCTCGATACCAAGACTTACTGACTGACTGACTGATCGTCAGTCGCAATATGACTTTGACTTTGACATCAGTAGTGATTATTGAGTGAGTTACTAGAGAGAGAGTAACCAGTCAATTGCAGTCTAGCATTCGCCGGAGCGAGTGGAAGCAGGAGAAGTAAGTGTGATACTGCAGATATCAGTAACTGTAAAATTGTAAACTGTGTAAATGTATGAGCGAGTGGAATAAATTTGCTATATTCAAGATGGCATGAAGTTATTTGTCGCGTTATACACCCAACACATGACAATAATTTAAGGGCAAAGTATGAAAATCTGTGATAAAATGTAACTAATCTTAACTCAGACAGGGAACGGGCATCAGAAGTTGCAAAAATGTTGAATTATTCAGTATTTTTCACAGGGGAAAAGTCCATTTAAATCAGGGTTGTCCAAGATGGCCAAAAAAGTACATAATTCACTATCCTAGTCTTATCATTGTCACATGTTGACCAAGTCCACAACTTTATTTAAAACTATTATGGAAAACACCACACACTCTATAAAGCCATTTTTACTAGCCCTGTGAAATACCCGCGTCACATGACCATGGAGTGCGTGCTTCACTGTGCAGATGCAACCTTTTACATTTCTTAAGCTAGAGGGCAGAAGAATGCAACCATTGAAATGAATGATGCTCCACTATGTTCCCAATAGATGACTCTATATACCTGCCAAGTTTGATTGAGATTGGTGCAAAGAAACCTGATATTTGAAACTCTAAAGTCACAATATGGGTTTTGTCAATCGCAGCAAGGATGCCATGTTTTTCAGAGATTGACATATGTTGACCAGAGCAGTGTAAGGGTTAAAAGGCCAGGCACAAACGTAAGGTCAAATTATGCACACCAGAACAATAACAGTTCATATGAACAGGAATCTGTAAAAGCCTCCAGTCCCCACTACAGACCTCTTTTCCTTCTCAAAGTTAAATGTCCCTACAGACAAAAATTTAATGACTTTCAATCATGGGAATATAAGGATCAAACAATGGGTCCTCCTTGACCTACATAACAGGTACAGTAAAAGTTCTCCAGGAATTTTTGAGCTTGAAGACTAAAATGTGGTGAAGCACCATCATGCATGAGCCACAGGTATTCTTAATTGCAACAGAAACATCAAGCAATAACACAGGCAAACTGTTCTGTACGGTATATCAATAACTGTTTCCTGTCACTCTCCCTTACAAAACAGAAGGGCTTATTAAAATCCTACTAATAATGCCAAACCACACAGTAAAGGCAAACATTGATCTCTCGGTTGCACCAATGCTTTTTATGAGCACTGGGATGGCAACTCCTTAGGACCACAAGTTTCTGATGATCTTTAGAGTGGATTCTGTAACCCTAAAAAGAACTAATTAATAATTTCTGTCCTCTTCCCCTATTTCCCCAGACAAGGCACCAGGCCCCTTCCTTCCACCCAGTGAGTCTGCTGAATACATGAATACTCAGCTGTCCTCCTCACTTCAGTCCTGATGACAGAGGCACCATGCACTTCTGAAACATCAAGAACACTGCCTATATGCGTATGGCACAAAGAACGAAGATCAAAAGGAATGTGTATGTGAAATCAAAACAGGCCTGACTACCTGTACCATGATGTGAATAATATGTAATAATTTGTACTAATGCAAGGCGAAAACAAAATGGATACCTAAATTATAAAATTATTAACCTCTATGCCCGCTATTTCACCATGACGACTGAGGCACTTGGAGGAAAGTAAGAGTCACAACTGCATCCCTGCATTCCGTCCAATATGTATACCTTTTAGAAAAATATACTTCACATGGACACACAACATCTGTTCAGTCATGTCTTTCACAGAACATTTACTTTTATTTCATAAAATATCTGTTCTTTCCTTGATGCAATTTATATCCCAATGTTTAATGCTAGTGTAAAAAAAAGTAGTTGGTGTGAAATCACAAAAAAAGGAAACAGTGGTGCAGCGGACAGATGCATAACCAATTTATACAACCAACTTTGTAATAACACTCACCATACTCAATCTCTTCTCTGGCAGCATCCAATCGTCTCTGAAGGCTCTCTGCTGTCTCGGTCCCACGCTCCCTCAGTCTACTCTCGAGTTCCTCCACGGAGGGAGGCATAATGAAAATGTAAAGTGGATTCATGTCTAACTGCTTCACTTTTTTAACTCCCTGCATATCTATATCAAGAACACACACCTTCCCCTCTGACAGCACAGCATGCACTGCCGCCTTACTGTAAACCAAGCAAATACATGTCTCTTTATTGCAAGAAGACAGCAGAAGTGGTGAGAAGAGATATGCAACAGCTAGGAGTTCATGCAAAGTGAATGAATGTAAGGCACATCAAATCAGTTGGTCTGTCTGGATGTTATAGCTCTAATCCTGTGAAACTTGACACTGGGGTGTCCACCATGGGCACTGGTGGGGGACAAACTAGACATCTGCTTCCCCCTAAAAAGAAATTAAGAAAAGGAGGAATAATACCCAACCTTAAACAATAAAAATTAAAAGAATCAGAGAACAGTAAAAAAAGTCTAAGCTGCTTTTTAAAGAAAAATTCCAGCTGTCCCACCCATATCAGCACGACTTAATTGCAAATGCTGTCCTATCAAGTTTAGCATCTCGTACTAATGCAGTTGTCTCTTCAAAACTTTTCAAGATTATGGCATGCATATTCAATAAAATCATAATTTCAGACTTCCTGTTCAAATTTGGGATATGCAGAATCCAGAGCACACACCTCTGATTCAATAATGATTTATGTAATGAAGAGCATATTATTTGGGAACAAGAGATTATGTAGCTGGAAAGTACCATTTTCTGCTTCAACCACATACCTTGTACCATAAATGTTTTGAGAGAACTCTGCTGATTCAATGAATTCTCCACGCGCAATGGCTTCTGTCATGGCTTCCTTGGTAGTGAAATGGTAATGTTTTCCATCAACCTCTCCTGGCCTTGGACTCCTTGTGGTGTGTGAAACTGAGAATCCAAATTTATGTGGGAACTCAGCAAAGAGACGCTGCAATAATGTTGATTTTCCTGAACCTGATGGCCCACATATAACAAGAGGCCGGGGACCATGATGTACCATCTTGCATGTATCTATCATTGGACACACAAAACCAATCAAGAAAGTAATACTTTACTTGTTTCCTACTTTATTTAATGACACTCAATTGACTGAATAAGAAATATTATGATAATGAATAGTGTAGTAGAAAGAATGTGTGTATTAATCAAAACTATTCTGAACTGAGGAAACCACAAAAAGTTCATATGGGACAGCCATGATTAACCTTGCAAAATTAGGCAATGCATTGATCATTTGATATTTCTTTAATCTTTCCAAGATAGGCGGCCAGAAAAATTTGTTTAAACATTCATATCTAAGCTTTTACTCACCATCATACAGTATCTAGGACAGATGACTAATTTTTTAACTTCAAATTTTGGGAATTTTCTTATTTTCTTTTGATTTTGACTATTTTACCCCAGAATCTGGGGAGAATGGACTGATACATGGGATGCTCCCCACCCCACACTTGAAGACAACGTGGCTATTTGGCTTAAATTTCTGGAGTACTGTCATAAGAATCAGATACAAACACAGAAATCACACTTCTTGTTTTAATTTTCTGATAACTTACAGGGATCTGGGACAAATTACTACTGCATTATTAATCTTATTTAAATTATTTTATTAGGGGAGCCCTCAAATAAAATGTGTCAACAAATTACTGAACTGCTCACACACAAATTAAGGATACCTTTCACATTGGTACCACTGATTAAAATGCAATAATAATTTTTCATGTTGATTCTCTTAATTAAAACACAATCACCCACAACAAAACAAATCCCTGAAATGTATACAAAACACCAACTGGAGAGCAATGCAATACTTCTACAAAGATGCTGCTGTACACTTAACAGATCGCTACCCAGAACAGATGCAGATGTTTTCATTGTATGTAAAAATGTCAAGGCTCCGTTTGTATCAAAATTCCATTAAAACTGGGAAAGTATGAAGTGCAGGTTATTCTACATGAAAATCTAGCAATAAGTAACTGTACCTACACCTGAGTAACCCTTTGATGATTACTAAACAGATCAATGCCTCATCATGCCTCACATTACATTATGCTCCCATCATTCTCCTGTCAATCAGTATTGTGACGACACTACAGGAGTTCAATTTTTGGCAGAGGAAACAGATTTTTCTTTTCTCCACAGAGGCCAGACCGGCTCCAAGGCCCACACAGTCTCCTATCCAATAGGTACAGCTGGTTCTATCCTCGAGTGTAAAGTGGCATAGCCATGAAGCCGAACATTCACCTCCATCTGGTGCTGAAGTTAAGAATGATGGAGCTATACCTCTATTGCCCCATATGCCTTCATGACATACTGCTTAATTATTTAATTCAGTACAGTGATAACTTCACCACTTATCAGAGGGATAACACATGAGTAGTATCATTATCTCTAGGTTACATTTGAAACTAACAGTTCAAAGCTGTCATCACAGATTGCACTTGTTTTCTTTAGAGGGGGATGTTCACACATGTGCACACAAAATGCCAACTGCAACAAGGTCACAAGAACACTGACTAAAGCACCACTTAATGGGCTCCTTAGAAGAGCTACTTACAGGGGATACATGCAAAGCAATTAACTACAGAAAATATGAGTACAAGACAGCATTGGCATTTGCATCAATGGGTGCAGAGTTTAAATTGCTGCCTGCAAATGGTCCATACTGTTACCGATACACATTCAGATCTGCATCAAAATGAGGCAAATAAGCCAGCAAATGGACAGCTTCATGCTCTCCATTCTGTTGAAGCAACAACAAAACTGCTTGAAAACCAAGCAAACCAATGAAGTGATGCAATGATTAGAAGAGATGCTGCGGAAAGTGAACCCATTCAAATAAATAAAATGCACTGATATTTAGTAAGCTTTCATATCTGCAAGAATGGTGATGTTATTCCAGGTACAGCTAGTACTTAATGAGAGGCTACAAGTGGAGACACTGTGAAGCACTATTCATCTGCAGCAATACCACATTCTCAAATGCCGCCAGAGCATCACTGCAAAACTTGTTAACATTTCCAACCAAACGCATGCAAAAACCATGTTCACATCTCATCATCAATTGAAGATGTGGTTGTTCTCAACATGCCCCAAAATCTACCGCGTGAATGTCATCTGTATAAGAAAAATTTCACCGTGAAATGGTTAAACAATATTGATTTTTTCTGTCCAGAAGTGAATGACAAATGAGCATAATGATCAGCCCATCTCAGCTGTAAGAGTATATGGGAGGGATGCAAGATAAGCATGCAACCACATGTTTACACAAACATACAAATCTCTACCTGTGATGTTATGAAGAAAGCAGTTCTTTGGCAAACAAAACTGATGTGTAAATATATATGCATAACATGACAAACAGTATTATCTTCCATCACATACAGTTTCTCCTGAAATGTGCATTTGACAAGAGACAAATACTTTTTTTGTTAGTCACTGTTCAATCTTCCACTGAAACTGTGCATCACAGAAAATGAAATCAGTCCCAAAATCATTCCAATTAAAGAAATCAATGTTCATGACAATGTTAACAGAAAAATAGGAAAGAATAACTTTCAGGAGGATGGATCATGAAATCTTTGAAAGCATGTGACAATAATGGGGAGTAACAAGGAACACATAGATAATTTTGGGAGTGAAACCCTTTAGAAAACATCAAGTTCAAAGGCAAAGGAGGAGGGATGATAATATCAAAATGTATCTTCAGGATATAAGTTTTAGGAAGTGTTGTGGCTGATGCTGACTGAGGAAAAATTAACACACAAAAAATGTTTCCAGGAGCATATTTCAGGAAAATTACTGAGGTTCCTTGATTCTAACAAGAAGTTCTTGGAAGAACTACTTGCCTACTTTCATCAGCAAGATAAGGACTGCACAGAAAATGATGCATCCAACAATTCTTCTACTCTGATATATTGGGTTTTTGGACTTTATCCATCGTCCTGGTTTTTAAGATAACCAATATCTAATATAACTAACAATGTAGCAGAAGCTACAGTGGCGAAACAGGCAGACCTCTGGCCGTGCGGCTCCGGGAACATAGGCATAACCTAAAAGAAGGTCTTCTAGAAAAATCTAAACTAGCCCAACATGCCTTTGAAGAGGGACATAGGATGGGCTGGGATGAAGCTAAGATTTTGGATATTGAAAGCCACATCAGGTATAGGAAATACAAGGAAGCGGCCCATATGGCATGCTCGGCCAACCCAATTAGCCAACCCAGTTTGGACTTTTCTCCCATTTGGATCCCCACTATCAGCAATGAAGTCACCAATTCACATAGAAGATCTGTATGATGTGATATATGCTTTTATTCATTTCTATTAAGTTCTAAATTAGATAGACGTGATTTACTCCATTGTTGACGCTAGTTAGACACTATTAGTTTTTGTTACTATTCTTCTTTCTATTCCATGCCGTGGGGTCATGGACTTGGTTATGAGTCTGGTTTCGTGGCATTAATTTCTACAGATCTATCTATCCTAGTTCCAGGCTTGTATGTGTTTGCAACAATTCGTTATGAATATTTTTCTTATTAGCTCTCATGGACTTAGCCTGGTCTCGGGTATTTATAATCTTCATGTGTTGTAACATCCGTTTGTCTACTGATTGAGGCAAGGTCTTTCTAACAGACCCAACAGAATAGGTGTTTTCGTTCACCTGAGGATGGAAACAGATCCAGTTTCTGAAATGTCGTGTTTTATTAGTTATCTTAAAAACTAGGACTGTCGTGTTTTTATTAGTTATCTTAAAAACCAGGACGATGGATAAAGTCCAAAAACCCAATATATCAGTGTGTTATACAAAGTCCAAAAACCCAATATATCAGTGTGTTATACACCATTGTCAGAATCCTATAGTAACTAATTCTTCTACTGTTGTGTATTCGTTGCTGCAGTAATGTTTTTTTGATCCGCTGCCTAGCAACAGTAGGGGCATTTTTACCAAGCCATTGCTTAGTAATAAGAGAAGGCTACACATATAGACTGATGGGAGGGATTTATGAAATATGCCACTGAGACAGATTCAGTTCAATGATGTATATACAAAGTTTTTAAAAAGATTCGTTTTGCCATTCAAAAGTTAATTAAGGGGGATTCACAGACAGCATGGAAACTGCAGAAACCTACTTTAATTTTTTTCAGAATAAGGAAAGTAGGCTAAAAATAATGCCCATGAACAAATGTTAGCAACTTGAAATACCATTTGATAGTTCAGGAATAATTACCAAAATCCGTGGGAACTGCTAGCATACAGTGCAAACAAAATCAATTCCATATTATATAGTTCTGACTAAAGCCTAGGTGTTCTAAATTTGAGCACTGTTCATAAGGCCTTTGGTGCAAGGCTAAATGATTCCACAAGATTCTTTACATATTTTCAATATAATTACATGCATGCATTTACCTATGTTAACTTTCACTACTCAAAACAAAACAAAAAAAAAACTCTGGTTTTAGTCCGCAAGCCGACTAAACCGACTGAGTGACTGATGCTCGTCGGCAAAGTTAGTGCCAACTTTCACTACTCTTTAGAAATTTAATTAGAGTGAAATTCCTTGCACATAGAAATGAAGTTATGAAAATGCATACCAAAACTTTGTATGAATTTACTAACTCCGTCACACTGGTCTTTTGTTATATCAATGGACTGAAGGTTACCCTTTATGATGCCATGCAAGATCCCAATATCAGCCTTCAGTCCACTAATGTATAAGCGTAACAAACAATTTAAGCAAATTCTACATGAAGAGACCTTCATCAAATATTCGCCTAAGAAATCTCTTGCAATCTGAAAAGACCTAGTCCATAATTTACCAGCACACTTCTCCCTTTGCTTATGAATCAGACCCGTACTCCCCTTTTCACAGTAGTCACAGGTATGGATGTAAAATGGCCGAGACAGAATACCGAGGAAGACAGTGTAGTTATTAAAAGAGAATACTGTAGGTACAAGCACTCTGCACCTAGTAGCCAAACTGATAATGCTGGAAAACATTTTCTCTGTGTTTTGTGATATTTCCAATTAAATCTGCAAAGAGAGACTTAATCAAACAGGTGTTCAGAAACTACAAGGATCTCACACTAAAGTAGAATTTACTGTTAACACAAGAGGCAGCATTTCTAGCAAGAAAACTACAGCTTCACGACTTTAACGGTGCTTGGCACTGCACTACACCATACCCACTGCTGAGTGCTTATGGAAACATACAGTTCTAGGCAGAATTCATAAAACCTTGTGTTACAAATCTTGTTACCAATGTTAACCCATATTCAGGTAACCTTAGTTTATAATTAAAAAACAGAACCTAATTTAGCTCATGGGTTACCATGATGAGCTTGTGTATAGATGGTTGTAGACTCAATTCACACTCTTATACCATTAATATCAATTATTCCTCATGCAGTTGATTTGACAGCAGTCAGTAACTGAACTATATGGCAGCAAATGGTAGGAGTTTGGTAAACGATGAATTGGAAAGGATTTGAAAGAAAACAGTAGTAACCTAATCAACATATTATCCTCACATTTGGCTGGGGCCCCTGAGGAAAACAACAAATAACCTGTCAAGATTTCTGGTACCCCAGCCGAGATTCATCCCAAGAAATGCCTGGATACAAGTCCAGGACACTAACACTACATCATCCTTCTTGCTGATTACAGCTTGTGTTTATAAATATGTTATAGAATGATGATGTTGGGGTTATGGTCATGGCACGGGTGCTGTTATCGTTACCTGCATCCCAAACTTCACAGGCCTTTCATGGTTCAAACGTTATCTATTACAGACACAAAACAAAGATAAATCTCTGCATGACTTACATGTTGTTATTTTGTAGCCCCCACAAGAAAAAACCCTTTCAAAATTTCCATACTTTCTGATGATCTACCGTCATAGATCACTTCAGAACTCTCTAAGTGGGGTGTCTTGCTCACCTTTACCAATTAGTGCATCTGCCACATTTTCATCATCAACTGTAAAGTAAAAAACTAAAGCTATCCCTGTAACAGGCTGTGGAGGCCCACAGGGTTGAGATGTTGAGGTGGGCTCATAGATGGCGGTAAGGTTTTCAGCCATACAGGCCGGCAGCCATTTACCACCAAGAACATTTGAAGAATATTCCTGGTACTCATTTCTGTTAAAGGCTGACTCCACCCCAGGGCCACAGTGCAGCTGGAAGGATTAGGTCAACTGAAAAAAATCCAATGACCTCATCAGAATTTGATTCCATGACCTTCCAGCTTCTAGCATAGTGCCTTAAACAACTACGCAACCACGTGGCCCCTATCATCAACTGTACGATATTAAAAAGTAGAAGATGTATTGCCTTCAGTGGCATACCACTCTTACCAAATCTTGTGAAAATCAGTTAACTGGTTTGACAGATGGAGTTTGGGCATACAGTCAGTCGAATGATCTCATAACCCTACTAAAAACTAACATCTTTTCGGCTGAATCCAGCCAAGTTATAAGTCAGGGATGAAGATATTTCTGCTGCTTGCATACACTGCTCCTTTCGGTGCTGTACAAAGATAAGTAATAATGGAACAGTTCAAGAAACCAACATACTCACAGACAAACCCTGTATGTAACTCTTTGTCCAACACAAAATTGCACATGCCTGTTCTAGAATTATAGGTATGAATAAATAAGGCTATCAGATGCAAAACTGGCTTCAACCAGTCAGACTAATTTTTCAAGAAATATTTAAAAGCACCATTCTCAAAGTATTTGGTTTATTCAAATTCTTTCATTTAGTTTAAAATTCAAGTATCTTGCAGATTAAAATACTAATAAAAATTGATTCCATTTTGTTTTATATATATTACAATTCTGAAGTGGGTTTTACAACAAATTTATTGGATAAGGTAATTTTCTGTGGTAAAAACAAAAATTTTGGGTGTGATTATTGTGGCACATGCTAAGAAGTGTCTCTGTAAACATTGGCCATTGTTACGTAACATTGCAACATTCATGCACAAAAGAATAGAAGAAAGGAATTTTCTATGTGATCTGCACCACAACTGTTTCTATGCAATGAGGAGGTAAATACACCTCTACAACAATAGAGGCTGTTTTCTGCAAGGTATGTGCCAAGGAATTATCTTGAAGACAACAGACCCTAAAGGAGTCACCCCATGTGGAGGCGGGATAGAATACCTCCACCATGACCCTGCAAGTCATAGGAGGTGACGAAAAGGGAAATCTCAATTCTGAGATGGTAAAATATGGTTGCGAGTCCCAAGGGACTCGGACCTGAGAAAGACTGCGCTGGCAAGAGCCAGAAGCATATATAAAAGACAGACCTGTCCTCTCGTCAGAGAAGGCGCCCCACAGAAACAAGACCGTAACTGTCAAATGGTAATAATTAATACCTGATCATGAGCTAAAAATGGGGCTCGACACCAAGACTTACTGACTGACTGACTGACCATGAGTCGCAATGTGACTTTGACTTTGACTAAAGGAGTCAGTTGAGGGTTCACTTGTGAAGTGTTGACCAGCCGGCAACAGAAGCACAATAACCTCCATTGCTAAGATTCGTTACCACGAGATGTGTATGAAGACACAGCAGAGGAACAGCCATTGTGGAGAGCTGTTACTAAGTAAAGATTAGTGGAAATAAACTGAGAAGACTTAGTGTCAAGTGATTTGTAGCATGCAAATCAGCAATAGTATAATAATTATTTGCAGTTACATCCTGTTAAGTATCCAATAAATCGAATTACCAATCCAATCCGACATCTTTTTTTTTTATTTCGCTTAGTGGGAGGTGGAGTCCAACTAGGTCCACTCGGCACGGTGTCCACTGATTGGCCTATTGTAGCCTGCCCCAGGTGATAATGATGATGGGGAATTTGGTGGAATGAAGATTGGCAGGGGAAACTGAAGTACTTGTAGAAAACCCGCCCCAGCACCACTTCGTCCACCACAATTCCCACTTTACCAGACCTGGGATTGAACCCGGGCCACCACGGTGGGAAGCCAGAGACTAACCCCTTCAGCTATGGTGTGGCCAAAACCCATGTCTTAGTCACTGTGACACATGACAATATAGATATATTTAGTTTTATAACTTGATTCTGATATACAACATACACAGAAAATGAACAAAACCAGTAATTTGTTTTTAAAATCAGTGGCTGTACATGAATCATTACATTAAACAATCTCTTAACAACTTCACACATTGTCGTGTAAAACACCAAGTTCACACAACACACCGATGTTTCTACCAATATCGTCCTTGGCTTGGTGTTTTACAAAATTTTTTATTAGATCGCCACTATCTCTAAGTTTTCTTAAAAATTTTCCACATCTAGTAAATTTTCTTTCTTCATATACTTACAAACATCATGCTAGTGATTTAGACTCTATTTTCTATTTTAAGCACTTCTGGGAGCACATGTTTTAAGTTTATAACTGACTCGCCCTGCACGAAGACAAGATTTCTTAATTTCTTTAGCAAAAAGTCTTCTGTTCCATTGAATTTTAAATGTTCTGTAGCTTTGATGGCACTGCACTTTGCAGTTGTATTATACATAAACAATTTCTCCTCCCAGTTTCACAACTGTTCCAATGCCTCTCAGTGGTATACTCGTACAGCTGACACAACATACCACAAACTCATTACTGATACATTAACAACTGTGTTAACCAGAACACTATTTGGTAGCTTCAAGAAGTTCTGGATGCGGAATTATAATAACCTGAATCCAGTGGAAAATTGCCTGACACTGAGAACCAATGGTAATCACAAGAACGCCACTTGGTGCTAGCTTCTGCTTAAGGTAACACATTCACCAACACCCTCCCCCACTTCAAAACAAACCTTCCACACGCTGCATTCTCCATCACACCAGCAGAACGACTCCACTGCATGCACATGATATGTAGGACGATCTGCAGAAGCAAACATCTGCCCCACCACTTTTTGAAGTCCACTACATGTAATCACGGCTGCTTTTTTCAAATGGCAGGTCATAAATTCTGCACTTCTCTAAACTGCACATGGGGCAAAATATAAGAATAATGCAGGGCAATCATGGGGAAAGGAACACAACATTCTGTGCAACACTGCAAATGTGTCCCCAAGAAAATGAAAACATTAGGTAAGCATGAAATGATGGCTTCATCAGTAACGGTTCCAATCTTTAAACACACCTACAATGATGTACTCATTTAACCAAAATGTTGTCCCCCAAAGAGCTCTGAAGGTAAAAGGTAAAGCTGTCCTTGCAGGTAAGCAACACGCCGGAGAGATGGATGAAGAGTGGGACTGAAGTGCCACACACACCTGACCTTGACATTAGTCACATTATCTCCCTGGCCAGATCCCCCATTATCTATTGAACAGCATGGTCTGGAAGCAGCCAGGGCAAGGCTGTGAAATAGCCCAGCTCATAAATGTTTACACATATGCTTTTTAAATACGTTATATACACTCTTGTTCGTCTGCTTTTTCTTTAAAAAATAAAAATAACAAAAAAAAAACACATATCAGTCATAAGGTACATTCTACTCTTAGCTCATGTGAATAATTCCACCTGTTTTTATTCAAAAAATCTGCCCCAAAAATGGAAAGCCGTGTTACAAAATTCACATACACAATGCAACAAAGTGTGGGATCACAAGCATCTTCAATTTTATTGCAAACAATATATTTTGTACACAATTTCATATTCCTTTACTGGCGTAAGTTACTGTGAACAGATCAGAAACATTCCTGCCACAGTCAGCCAGACTGTTGTATACAGTGTTGGCATCAATGAATAATGTCTTGGAAATCTTTCTGAAAGAAGAGGACAAACTGGAAAAGTCACACCAGTATGAGACAGATGGCATGAAGGCACAGAGTGGCATACAGGATTAAGGAATCAGTACTCAATCTCCAAATTAACCTCTACTAACATGCAGTCATTCAAACAATTCCTCCTTGCAATGAAGAAATTTGGAACATGTATACCCACAAAAATTAAAAGCTTATATTCCATTCTTTGACCAGTATATCAAGATATGTGACAGTCAATTTGGTATCAACTACAGAATGTTTATATTGAACTGGCTTCGGTGTATAAAGATCGGTAATAAGATTATCACCACCGTTGTCTGTGTGTAAATATGTTCGTTACTCTTCAGCTTGTGAGAAAATGTAATTTGGTCAATCTTCATAGTCTGTCGCATATTCGGCTTCTTTGAAGTAATTAAATTTAGCAAACTAACCATTTCTGTAAGCAGAGGTTCAACATATGCTCTAAAATTAACCTAACGTGTATTCAAGTGGGCGACATTAACCATAGACACCACTACACGTGCCTGCATGAAACCTATAAACACTAACAAGGTCCGTAAAGTACCTGCTATGGTGTCAAATTACTCTCAATTTATAATACTTCATACTACCTTTTACTACTTTTATTGCCAGTGTCCATGAAAATATTAAATATATTTCGCCTACTCAAACGTCGCCACACTGACCGGTTGTTTTGTACGCTACACGGCCTAAGCATAAAACTGCGTGCAACCACTCAGCAATGTTTCCGCTCACCTCGAATGGCACGTCGAATTTTTAAACGAAAAACAAACCACCACTGGTAACTTCAATTCTTATTATTACTGCTGATAAATGGATACAAAACATATAAATCCACAACAGCATCAACAAAAATACACTTCCTCCACGCAGAACAGCATACCGTAATGCCGTCTGTCGGCATCTCCAAACTACGAAACAAGCGAACGTACAATGTCCAGTCGTATTAAAAAAACTTCACGCCCTGATTATCATCGAACAGCTCTGCCTTCTTGCTTGCTCCCAATGTCTGTAATACTTTGATCATAACTTCGTTATCTAGGCCATGGAACTCTGTAAAAGAAAATAACAAACTATGAAACAGTTAAAAATAAAGATAACAATAAAGAGGAAATGTGGGTTACGTTTACAGCAGCGGACATGCACGTTATGCAACATTCGACACATGGAACAAAATTTCAAATTACATTTAACGAATTTAATTATGGAATATTAACACCTCTGATAAAACGATACGAACTGAAACATATTAGTTACAGTAAAACGAACATAAGCACGAAAGAGCGCGCACAAACAAATGCTTAGTGGAAAAGATACTTGGAGATAAACGCAAACTTAACAATTCTTGTGTTCTCTGTTTCAATAATTCTAAAATCTGGCTCGCATGGAAAACGTGCGTGAAACTAAAATGAGTTTCATTTCTCTCTACAACCCGTTTTTCGCTTCGATAAATACTGTGCAACTTGCACTCGAAATACAGGTAGGAACGCGCAGGTTCATTACTGTTGCCTTATTTTAACAAACACATGTATTTGCTGACAACTGTTTTTATATAAAACACTCCAATACAAAGTTTCATGAAAATCAATTTCGTGTCCTCGAGTTCTTTAATGCGGACACACAGACCGACAGATATAGCAATGCCAACAGGCATTAATTTCCAAACAACAATAATGCAAATATGAATTATGTGAATGTGTTTTACAAGTTGATGTACTTGGGGGCAACTTCCCAGGGACCTGAGCAGTGCGCCACACCTTCCTTTCTTAACGAAACTGCATTTGCAACCACCTGCGCCACGATGGGGAGGATGAAAACACAGAGTGATATAAATATGATCCTAAACAGTAAGCTTATTTTCTGCACACCACACACACACCCCATTCCTGGCAGTCAGCATGTTTCACATCAAGCCTCTCAATGATCAAACCAATCTCTAACATTCATAACCTCTCAAATTAGGTTTGGTGTAAAGAATGAAAACTGCACATATTTTAAATACTGCTCAAACAAGAGGGATGGAATCTATATTCACAGTATTGGTAACAATAAACATTTAATAAGGCACACTTTTCTGCGTCATAAAATCATAAACCAATGTATTACTTATAGTCTTAATAAGAGGTAACAGACCTTCATCTATTGTGTTATCCCCTTCCGTGATCTCATAAATTGTGCAGACTGCGTTAGCCATTCCACAGCTCTGTACCCAACTGTACACTAGATCTGCCCACTCCTCCAAAGTGTGCCAATATATGTGCCACCTGTCAAATAATACTGAATCATTCCTGCTACATGTCTGCCATTATAATTACAAAATACTTACAATAATCTGCACAGAATCCTATAAAAATAATTAAACATTCAACCCCAAATTTCAAGTGCGCCCCTACTGGACTGCTCTTCTAGGCCTGTGATTTCACTTTTCCCATGCACTTTCTGAAAAGTTCCACCCCTTCTTCACCATCATAGTACAGTCAAATACAGTATCAGTTCTTCACATTTCATTAAACTCATCATTGTGTCCTGACATGTTTTAACATGTACATTGTATCCTCACAGGTACATACTCACTAGTATAAAAGAAACTAACTCATGTTATTTTTCATTCTATTAACAGAGCCTATGCATTTGTTTCCAGAATATTCCACACTTTAACCATGACCTCTACTACATATATTTAACTTCTTTGGACCATAAGATCGATTCTGAAGAATGTACATAACAGAATGAATTATCTTTTCGGCTATATGAATACACCTGATCAAAATTCCATTATTTACTTCACTCATCCAATAAAAACAGTGGGCCTTGTTGGATCATCTTCAAATAGTTCATAAGGAATAAGGATGTACTGAATGGACAGATATTTAATATTCAATATCAATTACTACAATTTTGTAAGCTGAATTGATTCAAAATATATATGGTACTTTAAATATGATACATAATATGGTACTGCAGCACCCTGTTGCATGTCACTTATCACTTCTTATTCACTGTCTCACATAAAACTTGCGTCAAAATCTTAAAATCAACATTTCTAAATTTTAAAATTATTTCCCACATCACTGGTGCACTACATGTTCTGACTGATACAGTTATCATCATCAGCTGCTTAAATACATTGCTGCTGAAAACTGCTGCACTTCTGCCACTGAATACAATTCCAAAGTAAACCTAAGTTTATGTGCCCGGAACCAAGAATAACTGTCCTGGCGAGGGCCAGCAGCAATTGCAAACGACAGATCCATCCTCTCATCAGAAAGAGAGCCCCACATCAACACAACCACAACAGTCTGACAGTAATACAAATCTAGTTTTGAGCCCCAGATGGGTTCTTGACGCCAAGACAGACTGGCTGACAGACCATCGGTAATAACATAACTTTGTCCTTGACAGTTGTGAGCTGTTGTGAGAAGCTGGTAGCTGACGCCAGGGACAGTTTGGGAACCCAGAAGAAGGGGAACATCCGCCACTGAAAGCCACTACCAAGCAACGGCCAGCAAACACTCTAACAGACTGAAAAGACCTAGATGTCCTATAGTGATTTGTGAAATGTAGTCACAAGTTGTGTAAGTTTGCAAAAAATCCAATTACCAATCCAAACTCCATCTATTGTCACATGCAATCACGTGACAATATCAAATAATCGGAAGCTTTAGAAAGGTCAATGATATTTTCATAATTTAAGATTGAAGGAAAACAAATGTGGATAAAAATTTAACCAAATTTAATAAACAACAAACAAATACAAAATTCATTATTGAAGCGAACAGCATAACTCTATTTCCTCAATCTTACAATATACTGTAATAAAATTATAATCTGCAATATATAGGAAACACACACCAACAGATGTCATAATACCAAATGACTCCTGCCACCCATATGAACTCAAAATATCAAGTATTAACTACCTAGTGAACAGAATACACGTACCCAAAAACAAGAAAGGCAAAGAGAAAAAGGTAAACATCATTAAAAATACACTACACAACAACAAATATAAACCTTGAGAGGAAACAATCCAACCAACACAAAATAACACTGATCCACAACACCAGGAAACAAAACGGGCTACTTTCACATAGAGTGGAAAAGAAAGAAGGAAAAGTACAAAATTTTTTAAAGAAACACAATACAAAGCATAATTAAACCTTATTTACAAATAGATAAATATGGAAAAGGTTGTGTTTACCAAATGAAATGCATGGACTGCCCAATAAAATACATAGGGCAAACAGGTTGAATATCTCACATGAGATTTAGAGACCATATATAGGGAATTAGGAATAATAAAAGCAATTTGGGGTATTCTAATCACACACTCAATACGAGACATGCAGAGAGGAGTATAACTAACATATGGACATTATAGAGATAGAGGAAATAAGGAAAACACTTAAAACATATTAGAAAGTTGCCACATACATAAATTCAGCAAAGATAGATTACATATCAGTGACACATTCACTGATAAACATAATCCAATGTTTGAAACACTACAAGAACTTTAGAACTATGATACAAATCCCGAAAACCATTTGTTGTAAACAATATTTTAAATTACAAAGTATAAATCACTCCGTCCAATGTCACCTGTAAGTGACTTACAGGTCACACTGGATGGAGTGATTTATACTTTGTAATTGTTAATGTGACGGACCAGAATGAAACAAATCAAAAATATTTTAAATCGTAAGTTTTGAGGTTTTCACGGCGATGACTATGAAGAAAGTCGTCTTCTGGGATCTGGCGCCAGATCCCAGAAGACGACTTTCTTCATAGTCATCGCCGTGAAAACCTCAAAACTTACGATTTAAAATATTTTTGATTTGTTTCATTCTGGTCCGTCACATTAACAATTNACTGTGAAGACTTTCCTATTTGATCGCTGTTTCTACAGTATAGACAAGTTTCTCTTGTTTAGGGGGAAATCCTAGTTCTAATCACTTGTAAACATATATTTCAAGAATAATTAACTTGTAGATTTTTAATATTAGTAATGTTACAGGAATGCCTACTGCCCTGTTCTGTATTTTTTTTCTTTCAGGAATGAGATCAAGGATACCAGCGTATTTTGACACGGGACAGAAGGATCAGGTCTTGAGGCGTACAGTGGTGTCGTGTGTTAAATGATTATATTAGTTCTATTATTAGAATCATCACTGTATTATCTTAGTATATTGTGACGTATTGCGCTATGGAGGACATGCCCTCCCCCACCAGCGGTGGTGTAACAGCGCTGCCGCTACTACAGTGTCGGGCCGGTCAGCGCTCCGCCCCCTCCCACTGTGACGCAGCAGGAGACAACTCTCGACAGCATTGCCCAGCAACACCTGTAAACAAGGCTACTAGGCAACAGGGAACCGAGGCGCTTTCCGTCATCTGGCTGAGGGTTTATAAGAGAACTACACTGCCTAAGGAGTTAAGTTAAAATGTAGCAGCCGCCGAAGACAGCTGAAATAGAGCAGCAGTCGCAGAAAGAAGAACTGGACGTGTGGTTAGAAGATTTTATAGTGCACAATAACTGAGAAGTCAGCCAGTGAAGACTTATTGTGTGATTTCAAGATTTTGTGTGTGCCATAGAATAGTTATATTGGGAGTGTGCAATTCACAGAGACTTGTATAGCTCCCGCGTTATAAATATGTGAAGACTACTACAGGAAACAGCAATGTATTCCTTATGTGAAATGCTAACACAATTATCCTCACATGTTACAGATGTACAACACATGGGCACATAAACAAAGGAATCGTGTTCCATGATGGAAGTGTAGCAGTTTTCAACAGCAATTCTTGAAGCACCTGATGATGACCATTTCAGGTGAAACATGTAGTGCACCAGTGATGTGAAAAATAATTCTAAAATTCAAAAATATGAATTTTAGGATTTTAACACAAGTTGCATGTACATAATACTTTCACCTAAAACAAACTTCTGAAAACTAATCATGCCATAATGAATTTTAAACCAAGCAATTTTAAGTCTCTCCACTGTCGCACAATGGGAGCATAAATAAAATATGCTGCTCACATAATTTAAAAGGCAGTACTACCATAAAGTTGTGTATATCAAATATTCTGTTAAATTCTGTTGCAATATACGTAACTAGAAAAAGTAAAAAAACAGAAATGGTAAAAATTATTTTCTTGGTTACAAGAAAGGCGTAGCATGTTTCTGGTGTACTTTTAATACCAAACCTGATCGCACCTGACCTTCTGTAAGTAAAATAATCCCTTGTTCAACACAGATGTCCTGTTGGACTCTCGCTGGTCACATACCCCCCCCTCCCAACACATAAATGTTGCTATGAATTCTTTTACAACACATTCTACTTAAACCAAGTCAGCAAAGATCAGGAAGTCTCACCAAATGACATTCTGAAATTTACGCCTCTACATTTGTGACCCACCTGATACTAGCATTCCTCTTGTATACTCCCCCACGAGCACTCCGAATCAATACCACGTATTTTAAAATTAACCAGGCAAATAGTCACTGGATGGTATAGCACAAATATGTAATTTACAATTAAAGGGAAAATATATGGCACTGTAACATAAACAAGTGCCTTTCATTCGTAAGTACATTTAAAACATTATAAATCAAGTAGACATCAACTGGGCGGCAGGAGAGTCACAAGAGCTTGGTTAGTGCTTTCAATGGCACATTCAGCAGGTTCTGTTATACCATTAGTGATTTTCTTGAAAGCAGTGAACTTCACCAAATACTGTATAACACATATTTTGGAGAAGCACAGAACTTTTAGTTCTCCATTCAGTCCTTAAGTAATGTTGGTTTCATAATAAATTCAAATAAATGCAACTTACACGAGGCGATACTTCAATATATATGCCACACATGAAATTTCAACACCTACAAAATGGGTTCAAAACAAACATGAAAGTAAATTCAGACCCTTAAAATTATGAAATTAAACCAAGGTCAAACTGGAATGGCAAAGTTTAGTGTGGATCTATCAAACCAGGTTTCACCAAAACTGGTCCTGCACTGCTGCTTGCTGACAGACATGAATGCACACAAGAATGAGTGAGATTTTGGGCAAAACCGGAACTGACTGTCCATGACTGTAACATGGCCATGCAAATGGAATCAATGGGCCTCCCATTCATACTGTTCACTACAATTAATAAAATATTTATTCAAGCTTTAAAAAATCAATCAGTACAAATTAGGGAAACATTGTATCATCCTTATATCTGAGATGGATACTTGGGGCTTTACAGGAGTGCAAACTGTGTGTAAAGTTCTAAATCATTACCTCTTCCCTAAAAAAATTAGTGGTGTGACTGTTCAATGATGCTGGGGCTCTAACCCACTTCTCTACACTGTAATTCATCATATCTGGGCAGAATCTCCAAGTCAACTGTTATTTGCAACAGCGATGGCAAGGTAAAACACAAATTTGACACAATACCGCTGTAAAACCTCAATTAAAGACCGACATACTGTGTTCTCAAAGTACAAGGAAAAGGTCATGTAACTGTAATTTACCTGTGTTTCTGCTTATCCAAAGGCTCTGCATTGCCTGTCCGTGCTAGGTCATCAAGAATCATCACAATTCCTTCTAGTGGCAATTTTCCTAAGTAGCAGTTCAGGTATATCACACAAAATGGTTTTGTGAAGCCATAATGAGTTTGTACATATCATGTAACAATTTCACTTCATATGTTGGTAACCTGGTGAATCAGAGCAATTGTGAGAGTGTAACGTGTTTCACAGGGAGAAGTATGAGACAGAAATCTGAGAATATCTTTGCAAAATAATGACCATGCGTGTCTGACACAGGATCTGAGGTTTATTTACAACTTACTTACTTACTCATCAAGCTGAGCCCTTCTGGAGGAGCCGCCAATTCTGCAGCTACTCAAGAACTTCCAGCATTTTATGGAACACGAAGGTTCATTACTATGTTCACAAGAGCCTTCCACTGGTCCCTATCCTGAGCCAGATCTATCCAACCCATACCATCCTCTCTCTCTAAGATCCATTTTAATATTGTCCGCCCACCTACGCCTTGGTCTTCCCAGTGATCTCTTTCCTTCTGGCTTTCCCACCAATATCCTATACACATTCCTCATCTCCCCATTCGTGCTACATGCCCTGGCCACCTCATCTTCCTCTACTTGATCATTCTAATTATACTTGGAGAAGAGTACAAGTTATAAAGCTCCTCATTATGCATTTTCTCCAACCTCCTGTCACTTCATCTTCTTTGGTCCAAATATTCTCCTCAACATGCTGTTCTCAAATACCCTCAGTCTATGCTCCTCCCTTAATGTCAGAGACCAAGTTTCACACCCATACAGAACCACAGGCAAAATTATAGTTTTGTATACTCTCATTTTTGTTTCTGGATGTCAGATGGGAAAACAAAAGGTTCTGGAATGAACAGTAGCAAGCATTACCCGAGTTCAATTTCCTCTTAATTTCATCCTGAATCAGGTTTTGATCTGTTATTGTTGTTCCCAAATATTTGAATTGTGCCACATTTTCAAAACATCTCTTTCCTATCTTTATATCATGATTCTGCCCTGCATTTTGTGGCAAGACAGCAACATATACTTAGTTTTCTCAGTGTTTACTTCTAGACCAACCTCTTTACTTGCATCAATTAAAGTTTGAGTGTTTCTCTTCATGGTATCTACATTATCACCCAGTAGATTCACATCATCAGCGTAGACCAACAGCTGATATGTCCAGTTTAATTTCAGTCCCACCTGGTTCCCTGGACCTCCTTAATGGCATATTCTAAGGCAAAGTTGAAAAGGAGTATAGATAAAGCATCTCATTGTTTTAGACCATTCTGAATAGGAAATTTATCTGACAAATGTTTACCTACATGGACTTCACTATACGTTACGTTTAAACACATTTTAATCAACCTAACTAGTTTCATGGGTATCCCAAACTCTATCAGAATATTGTATAATACTTCCCTCCTAACTGAATCATACGCTTTCTTGAAGTCTACAAATAGCTGATGTACTGTCTCATTGTACTCCCATTTTTTGTCCAATATCTGACAGATGCAAAAGATCTGATCTGTAGTTGATCTGTTACGTCAAAACCCACACTGATGATCCCTAATAATGTCATTTATATATGGACTTAACCTTGAGAGAAGAATATTGGATAAAATTTTGTATGAAGTTGATAGCAGTGATATCCCCCAATAATTACCACAGTCAGTTTTATCACCCTTCTTGTGAACTGGTACAATAATAGACTCCTTCCACTGATGAGGCAATTTTTCCTTATGCCAAATAGAAGTAATTTGATTGTGGATCTTAGAACATAATATTTCACCTCCTGCTTGAATAAGTTCTGCCAGAATTTGACTACTACCTGGTGATTTATACCGTTTCAATTTTGCGATAGCACTTTCAAGCTCAAAAGGGCTAGGATTAGATACTAACGGCTCAGCTGTATGTATTTCTGTCTGCCTAACATCACTGACCCTACGTACATTCAATAACTGAGAGAAGTAGTTGCTCCACTTATTCAAAATGTTGTGGGAATCTGCAGGCAGATCACCATTCTCATCCTTCACTAAGTTACTGCTAGGCTGGCAACCCCTTTTAAAGTCATTTATTCCTCTATACAGGTCTCTAATGTTCTTGTTCTTACTGTTCATTGCAAGCTCATCAATTTTGTCTTTCAGATATTCCCTCTTTTTGTTCTTGAAATGCCTGCTGGTTTCACGTCTTATATTGTTCACATTATCCCCATTTAACTCGCTTGGATCCTGTAACCATTGCAATTTGGCCTGTTTCCTTTGGTCCAATAATTTTGAGCATCCTTCATCGAACCATGGCTTATGCTTCTTCGGTTCATAATAACCTACACTCTTTTTTGGCAGACATTTTTATATTCCCTCTAATAGTTTCCTAAGTTTTATTAACATCCACCTCAGTGTCCAAGTTTTCCAAAGCCGTGAACCTATTTGAGATTTCAACACAATACTGCTCTTTACCCTCTACCTCATTTAATTTCTTGAGATTGAACCTCTCCATATGAACTCTGAGCGTTGTTTGTTTGCTCACTGCCAGTCTTTCCCTAACCTTGCAACCACCAGATAGTGGCCAGTATCACAATCCACTGCCCTGAATGATCGGACATCAAGTATACTTGAGTGCTGTCTCCTATCTATCAAAATATGGCCTATTTGATTGTGTATCTTCCCATTGGGAGATGTCCAAGTAAATTTATGGATGTTACGATGTGGGAACATTGTACTTTTGACAGTAAGATTTGTTGATGTGGCAAAGTTTACTACTCTAACTCCATTATCACTACTAATTTCATGCAAACTCTCATTCCCAATTGTTGGTTTCTAAATGTCTTCCCTCCCTACTTTGGCATTGAAATCTCCTAACAAAATTTTCATAGGGTACTTCAGGAATTTATCAAATACATGTTCTAGTTCTTCATGGAATCTTTCCTTTATGTCATCAATTTTATCTTCTGTTGGGGCACGAACATTCATAGCAATGATATCACACCAGCGACCTTTTAGTATTATATATAATATCCTATCACGAATGAACTCTACCCTCTTAACTGCTGATATGATTTTCTTACGTACGAAAAAACCTGTACCTAATTCATGATTTTCATTCTCCTTTCCACAGAAAAATGTACGAGTACGTGTATATTCGCCTGCTGGTGTGATGCCACCTCCATCCCATCTGACCTCCTGTACTCTCGCTAAATCTAACTTATATTTTAAGATTTCTTCTGCCACTGCCCTGAGTGAACCTGCCCTATACAAACTTCATACATTTCAAGTGCCAAATCTCATATCCATTTTCATTAGCTTAGGTCGTTTATCCAAGGAATCAGTGCAGGTCTGAGGCTTTGTGTTCAATTTCATAACATGATGATTTTTTATCATGAGGAGTTGTTAGCCACACGCCCAACCCCCAAGCTGGAAGGCCACCCCTTGCTGACTGTCCACGACTTCTTATTCAATATATTCACAGCTTCCCTCCAAAACTGGAGGGCGTCTCCTCCATCCGCAACCTGAGGACGCGCCATGCTGTGGTGACTACTAGACCAAAAATAAACCATTCTAACTTATCCATAAGATCATACGCAGATATCTTCTTGCTGTTGTGCTACAACATTTAACAGTATGGTGTAGGTGGCTGGTTGCTTCATGGGCTATTTAACAGTGCTTTCTCAACTGCACTGGTTATAGCATGATAACTGTCGGTGGTGAACTAAGGATATGGAATGAAGCAGTTGTAATCCTTGCTCAGAGTGTCTGATGAAAGCCAACAAAATCCTTTCAGTGTAACCAGCCTCAGGACCAAGAACTGAACACAGGGTTTCCCAAATTCACAATAAAAATGCTAACTAATATTCAATGTGTACTGCAGTGCAGTTCTAGCAGCTAGAACCAACCTTTATCTATCTACATGAAATGGATGAGTGGTCAGCATGTTTTCTAGCTACACTTACTTCCAGTACACATTAGACAGGAGGTTGACATTAACCTCAGTCTGTTTTTGGTGTGGCAATTAAAATAAATATCCCAGTTGGTATGCTCAGAATTCAACCACTGCCAAACAATCCATGGCACGTTACATTACTAACATGACATGAATTGAAAAGGTTTAATATATTAAACTCCAGACATTATTTTTCATGATGAAATTTCTGAAAATAACAACTCACTTATTACTTCGAACTTTTCAAATATAAATGTGAACTTACATACAATACCAAAAATTTTCCTTTTCACGCTGCATACAAAACTTCTGCTCATTCCTCACCTTACTTTCACAGTAGTGTTCCAGCGATTTCGTATGGTACAACAGACAGGTCTATATATGGGATATTTGTGGGTTTCGAGCCGTTTACATAAAACATTTTGGGAGTTATTACCTGGCATCCAATGTTCACCAAAATAGCTACGGTGTAAAAACATAGCCACACACGGCAATACGTAATTAAGAAACGTTTAATCTCATTTCCTTTATGACGATTTTCTGCAAATTCCTTCGTAACATATAAAATGATAAATGAAAAAGGATACTGTCAATGGTCGTGTTATTGAAGAGAGGCGTTCTTTGTGCCTCCCGTATATCCAAGATGTGCTGTTTTGTAATTCTGTGGTAATCAAGAACCAAGTTCCTCCAAGCAGCAATCTGTTTCGTTCTTGTCTCATTATGAAGCTGAATTCTAAAGAAAAAAAGAAAGCAAAAGAAAGTAATTAAATGCACTCAACAGTTCTGAATGACGATATAAATTAAAAGTGAGCATACAGATTATTCTAAACTTCAATCTCGTAAGTGCGAATACTGATATCTTACGTAAAAAACGGCGGGAATGAATACTGCCACGGCCATTCCATAGATGCCATCTTACCGTCACAGTCACATAACCTTGCTACTATCGAACATCACACACACTGATTCTGCTAAGCACATATGCACACGCGAACACGAACGAACGGAAAAACGCAGGAAGATAAATTCGCTAATGCCATGCCACCTATGAGAATACTCGGTTACTAAGTTTGCCTACTTGCCCCAGTAGCTACATCAACTGCCATCAGAGTGCATTTGAAGAATGAAATTTGGTTTAAAAGCTGTTGCGTTCCACGTATTTAGAGACTACTTACTTTTTTTTATTGCTAGTGGGGTGGGACTAAGGCCCTTGTACTGCGGCCACTTCTGGCCTATTGTACCAGCCCCAGATGATAGGTGAGGGTGATTGTGGAGCAATTGGAGGAATGAAGATTGGCAGGGGAAACCGAAGTACTCTGAGAAAACCTGCCCCAGCGCCACTTTGTCCACTACAAATCCCACATGACCAGACCCGGGCTCGAACCCGGGCCGCCGCACTGGGAAGCCAGCGACTAACCGCTTGAGCTATGGCGCGGCCCTGACTACTTACTTACTCATAGAGCTTAGCCCTTCTGGAGGAGCTGCCAATTCTGCAGCTACTCAGGAATTTCCCAGCATTATTTAGTGACTACACAGACTTTATTTATTAAATTTTGATACATGAACCGGCATATCGCTGAAATATTCACGGAATAAACTCGTCTCGGATACAGCACAGTGTGAACATTTTATTCACTAAAAGTACATGAAAACAACTTCATATTGAAAACTTATTTTCATGTACATTCAGCGCATAAGAAGCTTTCATTGTATAATTTGTGTGTATATTAATAATAAATATTTAAAGTTGTTTATTTAAACGTAAATTAAGTAGGAACGGGAAGGTGTCTGCTGAAAAACAACTCTTCCTGATGACTGTACGAGCATTAATTGGTGCGAAGAGAAAAGTGCGCCTACGTATATTCGGGATATCTGCTCAAGATAAGACGTATGTTCGGGATATCTGCTCAAGACAAGACGTATGTTCGGGATATCTGCTCAAGACAAGACGTATGTTCGGGATATCTGCTCAAGACAAGACGTATGTTCGGGATATCTGCTCAAGACAAGACGTATGTTCGGGATATCTGCTCAAGACAAGACGTATGTTCGGGATATCTGCTCAAGACAAGACGTATGTTCGGGATATCTGCTCAAGACAAGACGTATGTTCGGGATATCTGCTCAAGACAAGACGTATGTTCGGGATGGTAATTTGATCCGGTATAGAATCTGGAGCGCTGTGTTTGCGTGCCAGGTATGTACTCAGTCCGTCAATAATGCAACAATCATTAAAATAATCACCATTCAACACCAACCATGTTTCGGCCACAGACGGCCATCCTCAGGTGTTTCGATGCGTCTAAACGGTTACGCTTTCCGTGGTTTTCCTCAGCCCCTCCAGACAGATTCCATAATAGTATCTAAAACCAGAAACGACCTCCTTCTTCCAGACATTTTCTAATTTTTTATTCACTAATCATCCTATCATTCGCATTATGTAATCTCACCAACTGAAAGCTTGGTTATGTAAACCAATACTAAATAAGTAAATACATAAATAAACATTGTCATACATATGGAGTGACTATATATGAGGTTTGGATTGGTAATTCGGTTTATTGAACTCTTATAGATCCGTGATTATAAATAATTATAACCGTTTCACTAATTCACTCACTTTACAGTTTACTATGGTAGACACTAAGTCGTCTACGTCACCACTATGTGTTGCTACGCAAAGACTTCCAGTAATGGGGATATCCTCCGTCTACCACGCCTCGCTTAATGCCCAAATAGAATTTTGAGGTTTATGAAATGACCCTCGTAAAGAAACAGATTAGTCAGTGCAGGTGCTTTAAATGCTCAAAAACATGGAGTGTCATGCACTGCAAGATGGAGTGAAGCCCGAGTTCAAGGATCCAAAGAAGGTTCCCCCTCTTCCGTTTCAAAGGATGGTGATGAAAGTGAAGAACAATCATCACAGAACCACTCCTCCACAGGCACGGAGTCCACAGGTGGTAGCTTTGCCCACGTCTATCACTATGAATTAGTGCACAGAAGCGGTTAATGTCACCACACACCTCACAAGGCGCGAAATAATCCATAATCTCATCTCCCCTCGCTGCCTTGGTGACTCCACATGGATTCTTGCGACGTTTCCACCCAGACAGCGCCGAACAAGAACGATATCACACACCTGTCAATCTACTGGACAAGTGTTGGCATTCCTGAACCATTCCTGGAGAGAGTCTGCACAGAAATTGTGGTTACAAGCTTCTGGAGCCCCAGCATCCTGTGTGACAAATCCACGTAAGCAAATGGAACACTTTTCTGACTGTTCATCAGTACTGCCATCAGACATTCTAGCAGCAGGAGGCAGTGTTTTAGAGGATGCTGCTCCACCAACACAAATCGTGGTTTCATAATTACCACTTGTGGCGGCAGCACCAGGCAACCAAGATGATCTTCCAGCTTTCTCTAATCTTTCATCTGCCCTTTTCAGACTCTCCCAATAAGGATTTCAGCTGTTCAAAGTCAATTCACGGCCTGTGGTACAGTACTATGATGAATGTTCAGTGATATTTCCTTCATCAGCATGGCCCTCAGGCTCTGGCTCATTACTCCTGTCATCACGAAAACTTTTAAAGCGAGAACCGCATATAATCGAGTCTCCCTATCTTCAAGTTCCTCTGGTTCTCTTCATCACGTATTCCCTCTCATATTCTCCGTCAGTTCCGCTTCCGGTCTCTCTGTCTTCTCTACAGCGCTCCTAGTTCTCTTCTGGTCCGAAGCCTCCTGAAAGGACGTGTTAGCTCTCAGCTCCTAACTTCTGTAACTCAGTCTGGCACTCCTTCTGTGATTCAGCCACGGTAGGGCGTTCATCTTGTGGGAGCAATTCAGATGTTCCTGTGGTCCTTAAGAGAATGGATCTCTCGTCGAGTGTTTTCCTGCACGTCTTCTGCACTTTGCAGTCAATCTGCCCCATCTATCTGTTCTTCTCTGGCGTCATATAAAAGTAGGAACAAATCCAACATCCTCGTTCTTCTCCTCTGAGAGACGTTATTCTTAGTTGTCACGTGTGTGAATGTGGCTATAGACGGGGTTTGGATTACTAATCGGATTTATTGCACACTCATACAGCTCGTTACTACACTTCACAAACCATTGTCGTACACAGACTATTGTTCTCAGTCTGTTACAATCTCCACTAGCCGTTTATTGGCAGCGGCTTCTAACGGCGGGCATTCCCCTTACTCTGGGTTCTCGAAATATCAACGTGCCTCAGCTACCTGGCTCTAACAGCACCGACTCACAACGACTGAACTGCAGCAGTCCTCTATTATTTTTTATTGCTAGTGTACTGCGGCCACTTCTGGCCTATTGTACCAGCCCCAGATGATAGGTGAGGGTGATTGTGGAGCAATTGGTGGAATGAAGATTGGCAGGGGAACCCGAAGTACTCGGAGAAAACCTGCCCCAGCTCCACTTTCTCCACCACAAATCCCACTTGACCAGACCCGGGGTCGAACCCGGGCCTCCGCGGTGGGAAGCCAATGACTAACCGCATGAGCTAGAGCAGTCCTCTGACTAACTGCTCAACCAACTCACTTAATCCCACTATACTCAACTGAACTTGGTCGGTTGAGACTTATAGACTCGGAGCGGATCCACAGAGAACACCACTGGCAACACCTCTCCTATTGTTGCGTGACGTCATTGCGTACGCGACGCCTTTCTCTACTACGTATGTACGGGTCATTGCCTAGTAACCGGTCTACGTGCTACAATATAGGGTCGTAATAATGAAGGCACCTGCATACAATACTGACAAAGTAATTTCAATCTACTGTACACCCCTAGGCTGTCTTAAGCTATAACTACATAGAGTAAGACCCTTAAACATAAAATTAGCTGTTGAAACTCGCCGAGTATGCCTTAGCTAAGGTAAAACTGCAGAACAGTCACATAAGTGTAGGGAAGTGTCTACCGACACTAAGTAACTGTCAATACAACGGAGTGCAGAAAATGAAATATGGACGCGGAAGCGTACCTGAACACATATTCCATGACGTATGAAGCGAATCGAGTGCTGTCTCCATTTATGTACAATTAGATCCCTTCATACACTGCTTGGAACAATAACTGACCAACTCCTTGGGGCTGAGTCCTTGAGAATCCACCAGTCGTTCAGCTATTAAAAGAATTCTCAATGTTATATGGAACCCGAAAATTCATTATCGTATTCACAAGAACCTGTCAATAGCCCCTACCATGATGCAGAATAATTCGGTCCACACCACCCCCATCTTTTTCAGACAGTCAAGCTACAATCAAAGCACTTGTAAACATGGAGCTCACCTCAAAACAGGTCTGGGACTGCCACCAATCCCTCATTCAACTGGCCGGACATAGCAGAGTTCAGCTGATATGGGTGCCAGGCCATGAGGCTATTGCTGGGAATGAAACCGCAGATAAGCTGGCAAGAATAGGATCTGAACCAGCTTGTGGCATCTCAGTAGGAGAGTATTGCAGGGAATGAAACCGCAGATCAGCTGGCAAGAACAGGATCTGAACATCTGAACCAGCTTGCGGCATCTCAGCAGGAGGGTACTGCAGGGAAT